AAGCATTGACTATGTCTCTCATGAACTTGGGATGGAAAAGGGCAATTAACTGTACTTATAAATAGTTCTCACATTCTTTTTTCTTCCCTTCCTTCTCCCCTCACTTTATCCCAAATTCAGTATCCTCACATATTAAAATGGTTCTTAAAATTGTGCTTATGATTTTTTTGAAAGTGTAATATCCTAATATCATTACTGTTAATCATGTTTATTACAGTAGTGCCTAAGAGCCAAGCAACAATGAGGTTCTATTGTGCTTGGCACTGTACAAACATGGTAGCAGACAGTCCCTGTCCCAAAGTGCTTGCAATCTAAATAGACAAAACAGAGAAAGGGTGGGAGGAAGACTTATGACACACAAGCAGCATAACAATGTGATGGCAGCAAACATTGTTAGTTCTGATTCTCTTTTTTTGGGGGGGTGGGGGGTTAGTTCAGAGGAGATGAGCTAAATGGAAAGAGAAGTGAAGGGAGAGAGGATGTTAAAGGGAAGGGTGTGAGGGGGAGAGAGCAGGGAAGGGGAAGGTACAAGAGGCAGGTGTGGAGTGAAGCTGAGGTGAAGAAATTGGGAGGTAAGAGAAAAGGGAGGGTTGGAGCAAACAGCCAATCAGCACAGAGCAGAGAATGGCCAGTCAAAACTACAATGTATCAAATGTACAAAGATCCCTAGCCTTGGCTGCTTCTATCACTGCTCCTACTGGCTGGTTGCTATCTGAAGTTTTACTCCAAGAAAGGTGAGGGTGGAGAAGGTGCACCTGGGTCATACTTTCACCAGAGTGTGTGTGAGGGGAGAGAATGGTGGTCCCAGCTGGGCCCCATTTTGTAATGCACTTTGGTCTCAGACAAAATGTGATGTGTTCAGTGCCATAACATTAACTTGATCCCAGACAGAGGAGGAGAAATGGAGAGCATGGCTGTATGATTGGGGATGGAAAAGGAGCCAAAGTGTTCTAATGAATGCTTAAAGCTCTGCACCTATAGCTGTATTTTGGCACTTAAATAAAAGCCTTGTTTTCCGGTGCTGAATGCCTGCAGGTCGCATAAAATATTGATCCCACAAAAACCCAGGGGAGATACAGATGCTCAACACCTCTACGAACCAGGCCATTTTTATTAGCTGTCTAATTATGGACAGGAATGTTTTAACATGTGTTAGATCATTGCCTCTCCCTTCAGCTCTGCTAACCACATCCAACTAATACATTCTTAAACACAGCTGTCTTTGTCTACACTAGGTAGTGAGTGGGGGTTAACCACATGTTAATTAAAACATGTAAGTTAACATGTTTTCTAATGCAGCTTATAGAATCATAGAATATCAGGGTTGGAAGGGACCTCAGGAGGTCATCTAGTCTAACCCCCTGCTCAAAGCAGGACCAATCCCCAATATTTTTTTAATTTTTTAGCCCCAGATCCCTAAATGGCCCCCCTCAAGGATTGAACTCACAACCCTTGGTTTAGCAGGCCAATGCTCAAACCACTGAGCTATCCCCCCTGCCCCCGCCCCCAAGACTCCTGTTAACTTCAGTAGTCTTTGGATCAGGCCCTGGACAAATATTCTTAAATGCCTTAGAATTTATATTATATTTTGTTTCCAGTTCGTTCACTGTCATGCCTCCAGTCAGTCATATACATACAAATTTTCAAAATTGGATGCCTAAATGTAGAGATCTCAATCCATATTTAAGCGCCTAAATAAGTGGCTTGATTTCTCATGGTGCTCTGCACACCGCAGTTCCCATTGCCTTCAGCGAGCTCTCACGATGAGATTGTACCTGTTTCCTGATCCGTTCAATGAGTGCAGTAATACTTGTTTGTTGTAGTGCAGTTTGAGGTCCTTTGATGAAGTCTGATGTCATTATTTAGAAGTTCTTCTGTTGAGTTAAATGTTCATATTACGTCAATGGGCCCTGTTTGTAGCACTTGGTCCTATTCAGTGTCGCCTTGCAGGCCTCAAAAAGAACAGGAGGACTTGTAGCACCTTAGAGACTAACCAATTTATTTGAGCATCAGCTTTTGTGAGCTACAGCTCACTTCATTGGATGCATGCAGTGGAAAATACAGTGAGGAGATTTATATACACAGAGACCATGAAACAATGGGTGTTACCATACACACTGTAATGAGAATGATCAGGTGAGGTGAGCTATTACCAGCAGGAGAGAAAAAAAACCTTTTGTAGTGATAATCAAGGTGGGCCATTTCCAGCAATTGACAAGAACGTGTGAGGAACAGTGTGTGTGTGTGGGGGGGGAAATAAACATGGGGAAATAGTTTTAGTTTGTGTAATGACACATCCACTCCCAGTCTTTATTCAAGCCTAAGTTAATGGTGTCCAGTTTGCAAATTAATTCCAATTCAGCAGTCTCTCACTGGAGTCTGTTTTTGAAGTTTTTTTGTTGAAGAATTGCCACTTTTAGGTCTGTAATCAAGTGACCAGAGAGATTGAAGTGTTCTCTGACTGGTTTTTGAATGTTATAATTCTTGACGTCTGATTTGTGTCCATTTATTCTTTTACGTAGAGACTGTCCAGTTTGGCCAATGTACATGGCAGAGGGGCATTGCTGGCACATGATGGCATATATCATATTGGTAGATGTGCAGGTGAATGAGCCTCTGATAGTGTGGCTGATGTGATTAGGCCCTATGATGGTGTCCACTGTAACTATTTCACACCTGGGGACAATGTATACCTTCAAATCAGCGGCACTGCTATGGGTACCCGCATGGCCCCACAGTATGCCAACATTTTTCTGGCTGACTTAGAACAACGCTTCCTCAGCTCTTGTTCCCTAATGCCCCTACTCGCGCTACATTGATGACATCTTCATCATCTGGACCCATTGAAAAGAAGCCCTTGAGGAATTCCACCATGATTTCAACAATTTCCATCCCACCATCAACCTCAGCCTGGACCAGTCCACACAAGAGATCCACTTCCTGAACTCTACAGTGCTAATAAGCGATGGTCACATAAACACCACCCTATACCAGAAACCTACTGACCGCTATACTTACCTACATGCCTCCAGTTTTCATCCAGACCACACCACACGATTCATTGTCTACTGCCAAGCTCTACGATACAACCGCATTTGGTCCAACCCCTCAGACAGAGAAAAACACCTACAAGATCTCTACCAAGCATTCTTACAACTACAGTACCCACCAGCTGAAGTGAAGAAACAGATTGACAGAGCCAGAAGAGTACCCAGAAGTTACCTACTACAGGACAGGCCCAACAAAGAAAATAACAGAATGCTAATAGCCATCACCTTCAGCCCCCAACTAAAACCTCTCCAACGCATCATCAAGGATCTACAACCTATCCTGAAGGATGACCCATCACTCTCACAGATCTTGGGAGATAGGCCAGTCCTTGCTTACAGACAGCCCCCCAACCTGAAGCAAATACTCACCAGCAACCATGTTGCTCTCCAGAGAAACCCTGTGGCTGATCTGAGTGGTTATAATGAACTTTACAGGCATTCCACCCAACCTTCTTGGGCTAGACATATGGAAGGAAGGAGGAAATCTTCCACCGAGGACAAAAACATCAAGCATGTTCTACTGATTTTATTAAAATGCTAAACTCTGAGCCTCCATTGCCCAATACAGTAGACTGCAGCCCTGTTTAAAAATACTCCAGCAGAGCACAGAATATGCTTCCCTGTTGTAATCAGGAACGTATTCTCATTTCAGCAGAGAAAAAAAGAAAGATTTCATTCAGCTTCCACCAAGCTGGGGATTTGCTCCTACTTACTCCTGTCCCCTTCTCCTTTGCGTCCACTGTTTGCTCAATTATCACTGCAATTTATTACAATACTTGTCAGGATATCTCAAACCAAGCGTGAGCTACCCAGGCCATCTGGATAGAAGTGAGTGGTTAACTGCCTTGATCCTCCCACTCAGCACCATCTGGTGGTCATGGTCACGGATGAAAAGTTTTTCTTTACTAAGTGTTAGGGCTCCTCCTGCATGTATATTGAGAGGGTTTGATTGATACATATGGCTGGGGTCTCGAACGGAGGTAGGTGCTCAAATCCCACTGATTTGAATATGGAAGGGGTGGTCTTCGTGTAAATAAGCACAGATGCAAATAAGAAGGTGAATGAAATATAGCTATAGTGATAGCTATAGATCGATGGATAGATTTCATTCAAATGTTATAATTACACAGTTTTCTTATCAATATGCAAATGTATGAAATGTCTCCAAAAACAAGTCCCTTCTGTTAACTGGTCTGAAATAGACCAATTTGGTGATCTTCCAGGCACATTGCAAAAGACATCTGTTTGACAGGGATTTTGCAGAGCGCTGAAGGTATGTTTCCTACAGCAATGAAGGGTGGAAAGGAGTTCTTGTAGGTAGTTGACTGGGAGAATTCCTGTCTGAAATGATTATTTTAATGTGTTGAGATTTCAATGTACTACTAACTATGTTCGGGTGCCCAGATTCATGTATAGGTGTCTTTTTAATATTATGTAAATCTGAATAAACAAATAAAATACATTCTTTCTGCTCTTGGTTTATGTTGAGCTCCTGCTGGGAAAAAAATGGATTATTTTAGACAACACAAAGAAGTATCAATGAGATGAAAACACTGGCAGAATTCTCTTTTGTTTTAAAGAATGAAGGACTAGTCCCTATGCAGTTCAGTATCACAGGTTTTTCATGGGATGTAAAATGTGGTCTGTGAACTCATAGAGTTGGCAGGCCAGCATCTTTTGCATATCCATGGAGATCAAGATGAGGTGAAAGTACAGAAGAGTGTATGAAAGGTTATCGCATTCATGTGGGGATACAGTGGAGCGTAGAGCAAATTACTACAGTATCGTACTTTTCTGCAGCACGACTCAGTTCTCAATTGCTCTTACACAACCCTTGGAGCTGACTTAGAATGGCCAAGAGCTTGGCTAATGAATATGTCTTAATGTGCTAGCAGGGAATCGGTTGCGCCTTATAACAAAGATAACACTGCTCTTTTCGTCTTTCCCTAGTCCCCAGTTTATGTTGCAGAAGTCAGTCAAGATCTTGTCCAGCAGACTGAGGAAAAACTTGAAATCAGCCCCTGCAAAGAGCTGTTTTCTCACTGTGCAAAGTAAGTATAACTTGACTTCCAAAGATCACACAGTTGCAGTGGTCAGACTTGTAAAAGACCGCGTCAGATAAGGGGAGGAAATTTTAATTTGGATCTGCACCTTGCATTTTCTTAAATTTACATTCATACTCTCAGACAAATAACTGACAAGTGATGAAATTGCTTCATCTGTATAAAATATAGTAAATATTTCCCTTCCACTATGCAGACTACATACAGGAACTTAGTGTTTCAGGTATTTGACAGAATGTTCTAGCCAAGTGAACCAGCCCTAGACTTCATGCTGTGTGGAAAGAGGTACAATGATAATGAATCCAAAGAAAACATCTCTGTTTCAAAGTGAATAAAAATTAAGTGGTTATACAGTCCATTTATACAGAGGAATGTGCAAATGTTGCCTGCATGGCTTTTCCTGAAAACCTTCAACAAAAGGATGGGGCTTTTAAAAAAATAATACCATCAGTCTGTCTATGGAGTTGAAATGTGTGTGCACTATTTAATCCTTTTGTCTGGGAAAAGGCTTATCAGTTTTGCAGAGGTGAAGCAATTGTGTTGTTGTGTCCTAAAGTTCCCAGTATGCAATTTGCATTTGAAAACACCGATCCTAGTACGTTTAATGCTAGTAGATCAGACACAAACAAAAATATGAAAAGGGGGGAACATCTAAAACAGTCCCATCTGGTCTCTGGCTGAGCACATTTTGTTTTTCCTAGGTGATGTAACGCGGATTTGAAAATGTGCTCTGCTGTCATTCACTGATTTGGCTCCTGTTGTTGACCTTTTCTGCTTTCAGTTATGCTTTGCGTTGGGAAAAGGTGTGGATTACTTCTGGCCCTCTGTTATAACAAATTGGTTTACTTGTATTGGCCTTGTGTCTGCTGGGATATTGATATAACTTACCCCAATTGAGTGCATGAGTCCTGAAGATGACAAAGGCAGAGCTTTGCTTGACTTAAAAAACCTGATATCGGTTTCCGTTTCTGAACTTGATTTCAAAGCTGACAGTTTACTGTAAAATGTATTCTGTTGATGCTGAGGATGGCAACAAAAAAGCAAATAACTGGTGAAAGGCAGCCATTGTTTGTTATAATATGTGAAGCTTTTAATTACTAGATGGCAAGCTTTGGACACCACTTAGTTGAGTTCTGTATTAAGAAGAATTTGAGATAACTGGCTAATTTATCTGTTTCAGTTCATAAATGGTTATGAAACCTCATTCATTAAAATGCTGATCATTTCACATGAACTGGAATGGGCTCAAAAGGAAGTTTGAAAAACTTGCTGTTGGTGTGGGCTAAATGTATTGCACCATGTTAATTTTGGAAGTGTGCATAGTCAAACCCAGACAGGGAAAGGACACACACAAATGAGCCCAGAGGAGGGCAACAAAAATGATTAGGGGGCTGGAGCACATGACTTATGAGGAGAGGCTGAGGGAACTGGGATTATTTAGTCTGCAGAAGAGAAGAATGAGGAGGGATTTGATAGCTGCTTTCAACTACCTGAAAGGGGGTTCCAAAGAGGATGGATCTAGACTGTTCTCAGTGGTAGCAGATGACAGAACGAGGAGTAATGGTCTCAAGTTGCAGTGGGGAGGTTTAGGTTGGATATTAGGAAAAACTTTTTCACCAGGAGGGTGATGAATCACTAGAATAGGTTACCTAGGGAGGTGGTGGAATATCCTTCCTTAGAGGTTTTTAAGGTCAGGCTTGAGAAAGACCTGGCTGGGATGATTTAGTTGGGGATTGGTCCTGCTTTGAGCAAGGGGTTGAACTAGATGACCTCCTGAGGTCCCTTCCAACCCTGATATTCTATGATTTTATGAAATGTGATGTTTGCCTGCCTTTATGTGTTGTAGCAAGGATTTATTTCAAATACATCTCCATGGATAAGACTGATCCCCTGGAGAAATATATATATTTGCATGTGTTTCCCTTGTTTTGTTTTTTAATAGCTGCAGTGGCATGTACCACTGTTATCTTGTTGGGTCTAGGTGTGATTTTGGATTTTTTTTTCTTTTTGTTAGTAACCCACTAATATTGAGATTTTCTTCTGTAAACAAGACTTCTGAGAAAAAATATTTGCTGTCATTGAGACATATACCACATGACCTGTGTGTCCTATCAAAACTAATCAAGACAACTTGAATTGGAATCTTGAATGTAAAATACTAACAATTAACTCCTCATTCACAATCTACAAAACAAGAATTACTAGGAAATAATTTCAAACAAACAACAAATTCCAGAAAATTAAAAATGGCTCATGGGCAATTAATGAATGGAGAAAAGCTAAATTCAGGAGATAAATTATTAACAATGAATAATTTGCTCAGCTCGAGAACCATATCAGTTAGATAATGAGAAGACCTAGTCCCAAAGCACACTTGTTCCTCAATGGGACATACCATAGAAATGTTTCCTTTCTCTCAGAGCTGCGTTCTATTTAGAGAGGTTCTTGTGTGATGTCGTCATTGTCGACGGGTTTATACCTGTACTTGTCTGGATGTCATTTTCTGTCTCTGAAATCCTTTTCTAAATTAAAGTGTATTTGGCTAGAAAGCATGCCATGCCTTCCATTGCACTGGTTGGTCACAAGGTAAGACTAGTTCCAGCAGTTCTAGCCAATCAGGAGACCAAGAGCTATCAGAGGAGCCCTGATTGACTAATCTTTAGACTCTATACGATTAGATGCCTCCTTTTCCCCTCAAGTAACTCTGGGCCACTGTGCTGTGAGGCTGCGGGGAGAGCAACTCTCATTCCCTGTGCTGTGTCTCTTCCACGCTGGGCTAAGCTCTGCCCCCCGATGACATGCCAGCAGAGGTACTAGCTCACCAATCAGCAGTGGCCTGAAAGGACAGGACAGCAATCAGTTATACAGCAGCAGACCCTGCACATAAATGCCTGAGGCCTGTCTCATCTTATTTCTCTCAGCCCTGCCCCTCAGCCAGTCTGACAGGACTTCTCTATGCCTCTGGCCACTTGCTGCCTATCCCACACTAATTCTCTGGCACATTTTCACTGGCTTTCTACCAAAGCTTTGCATCCACAACATGACCACCCAAGGCCCCTTCCTGACACAGGTCCAGATCCACAGGCCCATCCCACTTTCTTCATTTGTTTCATTCTGCTAGCAACATAGCTCTTGGGCAGGGTCCTTTGGCTTAATTCAGTAATATTTTGCTTTCTTTGGACTAAAATTACTTCTTCCCAAAAGCATGAGTTATGACTGACTCCTTTGCTTTAGCTAACAGCATCCCTGATGGTCACTCGATAATTGAGATGTCAATGCCAGAAAGTTTGAGTCCAGATCTGAACATTCCCCAAAGTTCAGGAAGACTGACTCCAGTGGGGTTTGGTTTGGCCCCCTCCCCAAGTTATTAACTGCCCTAGTGGCTAAGGGCCTAATCCAAAGTCCAAAAAGTCAATGGGAGCCTTTCCATTGCCTTCAATAGACTTTGGATCAAGACCTACATGCCCCCTACATGTGACTTCACTGTTAGCTACCATTGTTACCGGCTCTTGGTGCCAGCCAGCTGAAGAGTTTCAGAACCAGTGCCTTTGTCAACACACACGGCGGCACACTAGTACCACACATGGTGAGGTACAGCGTACATGACACATTGTTCCAGTGTAGCTCCTACTGATTAAAACTGTGACTAAAACAAGGTGGAAATAAACGAAGCAACATTGCTTTAGAGCAAGACTGAAATTCCTTTTTTTTTTTCTTCAAGTTCAGGATTATAAAATGCTTATATATCTTTTTCATCTGAGACAGATCTGTCCTTGACTACCTAAGTGGAGAGCCATTTCAAGAATACCTAGGCAGCATGTACTTTGATAGGTTTCTGCAGTGGAAGTGGTTGGAAAGGTAAGCACTGCTCTTTTAAAAATATATATATATTTTCAGTTTCTATGCAAAACGTGCAGTCTGTGAGTCAAAAAAGCATGCGTTGCTCCCACTGGTTTTTAAATCAAAGGCAGAATTTGGCCCTATCTTTGAGTTACAAACTATTTTAGAATATAAAATTACAACGAATGAGAAGAGGGATGGGGGAAATGACATAAATTATTGTAGTGAGAATTTGCCTGACCATCCAGACATTTACTAGAACCTCCCTTCCCATTGGCTTTCCCTCTTGCCTCCTAGACTCCATATAACAGCTCTCAGATTTTGCTCTCCTCCATTCTCCCTCTTTCCCTCCACAAAGACCCCTTGTGCCATGCTCTCTGCGCCCTTAAGCTATGCTTCAGGATTTCCATTCTTCTCAGAAAGGCTTCCCCAAGCTTAGTATTTGGTCATAAGTGCCCATTGTTAGAAGGGTCAAAAAACCGATTGAGGCTTTGTCCTGCAGATAAGAATCAAACTTACCTCAGGGCTAGATCCCATTTCACCCACTAGCTGAGTTCCTCCAACCATGAACCAGTCTACACCAACTATAGCCAAGATAGCAGTGGTCCTCCTTGTATGTGCACAGACTCAGGAATAATCTCCTCCCCTTCCCTCCACTCTCTAGAATACCACTTTCCTCAAGATAGTGAGGATATGTCTACACTACAGTGATACTGCGGCACATGCCGCCGTGGCACTGTAGTGTAGATGCTTCCTATGTTGGCGGAAGGGGTTTCTCCATTGATGAAGGTAATCCATCTCTCCGAGAGGCGACAGCTAGGTCTGTGGAACAATTCTTCTGCTGATCTTGCTGCATCTACAGTAGGTTGACCCAAGTATGTTGCACAGGGCGTGACATTTTTCACAGCCCTGAGTGATGTAGCTAGGTTGATTTAATATTTAGGTGTAGACCAGACTATATTGAAGTTGTAGGCCACAGATAACACCTTGGGAAGCTACATTGCAGAATGTGGGTTGTGCACCATAGACCTATAGGATGAGATTTTCAAAGCTGCTTGAGGAATTTTGACACCCAATTCCCATTAAAATTAATGGGAACTGGGTATCCAAATTTACTTATGTGGCTTCAAAAAATCTCTTCCCTAATAGTTACTGTGCTCCCTGTCACAAAAATTTTTTCATTGCAGACAAATAGATGTTTGCATCCTGTTGCAAATATGTTTAAATGACCCACTTTAGCAGTTACATCCTACCTACATGTGTCTATGATGTGAAGTTTTAGATGTGCATCTAATCTCCAGTTTTCACATTTGCAAACAGCATGATAAGCAATGCTAAACCAGATTCTGCTTGCTAGAAAAGTTAATAATAAAACAGAAAAACACCCTAGCTATGGCTAGTGTGTTGTAGTGTTTAACTTCCAGTACACTGGGTACCATTTAAAAAAAAAAACATTCTGCAATTTGAGCCGTCCTTTTGCGTAGCTAACCTTTGAATGCTGATGACCAAGACAGATCTATGATAACTTTTTGGAGGACCCACTATTTCTGTTTTTATAACAAAAAGGAAAATACAGCATATGTGTCCTAGAGCCAAAATTATTAGGTACACATTTCCAGGCACACTTCATTTTCAGGAATCCTTAGGGGCTTTGACCTGCCAAGACAAAGAAACGTGTATTCTTTGTTGGCTGGTGCCACAGCGGATTGGTGCCGCTGGCTAATGGTGTCTGTAACTCTGAGTTAAAGGCATTCCACACTTTCCACAAACTGAATTACAAGATTTCAGAGTAGCAGCCGTGTTAGTCTGTATCCGCAAAAAGAAAAGGAGTACTTATGGCACCTTAGAGACTAACAAATTTATTTGAGCATAAGCTTTCGTGAGCTACAGCTCACTTCATCGGATGCATGCAGTGGTTGCATGCATCCGATGAAGTGAGCTGTAGCTCACGAAAGCTTATGCTCAAATAAATGTGTTCATCGCTAAGGTGCCACAAGTCCTCCTTTTCTTTTTGTGAATTACAAGAGAAGATTTAGGGCCAGATTCTCAGCTTGTGTAAATCAGCAAAATTCAGATGAAATCAACGGAGCTGTGCCAGTTGCACCAGCTAAAAATGTAGCTCTTAAAATTAAATACCATTTGGCTGATGGTCAGTCATTTCAGGTCAGTACATGCCATATTCCACATGAAAACCAGAGCATCCAGTGTTCACTGTTATGCTCTATTTTCTTTCTTCCACTTAAATTGAAAAAGATCAGATGTTTCCTATCAAGTCTGACCTTTTTCAGTCTACTGTCACATCTAGGATTTGGAATTTTGTCCAATGCATTGAAGATTTTTATCCCCTCCCCCCCCAAAAAAAACAAAACCAAAACCAAAACAAACAAACTTGACAAGACATCAGATGAGCCCACTTAGTTTAGGAAACTGAAGAGACTTTCCAGCATTAAACAAAGACAACTTCACTAGCATGGAATGATTAACAGCTCATTCTGAGAGCCTGTTGGCTTCAACAGAACAGCTAAATGCTCAGTTTATTCCAGGGATACTGGCAAATACATAGTTATCACGGTTAATTGGTGCTTTTAACCCTACTAGTGTTTGCAATATTTTCGTAGAAGCTTGAAAATCACATTTTTCCCTTCCAGTTTGGTCCATTCCCATTTCATTTATATAAGGCTTCCTTCTCCCTCCCTCACGCTTGCTGTTTTTTAAAATAGAGCACAAATGAACATGGTTCACCTTAATGTTTACTTCCTTTGTTATCATCAGCCACAGTGAGCTGTAGCTCACGAAAGCTCATGCTCAAATAAATTGGTTAGTCTCTAAGGTGCCACAAGTACTCCTTTTCTTTTTGCACATCCTTTGTGTTGGTCTCACAGCTATGCTATTTAACTTGTGCTCAGTTTGCTGCCCTACAGCAGCAAAACAAAGCTACTATAGGGTTCATATGAATATTCATTAGCAGTAGCTTTTACTATAGTTTTATTTCATTCCTTAGTGACAGAGTGGTGATTTAAAAAGTAAGGTATTTGAAATCAAATATTCTCCAGCAAATTATAAAAATGTAAGGGAGGTAAATGTTAGAATTAGGATTGGAGGTCTGCCTTTTTTGGGAAAATTGTATAACATTTAATAGAGATGAAGTTCTATAGAAGTTATTCTAAAATAAATATAGAAACAGGCCTGAATGGAAAACCAGTCTGCAGATTGTAAGCTCCTTGGGGCAGGGACTAATGTTTTTGGTCTGTGTTTGCACAGCCCCTAGCACAGTGGGGTCCTGGTCTATGACCTAGGTGCTGTGGTGATACAAATAATAAATAACAACAACAGGCTTTCATGACAACTACATGAGACTGAGTTGGGCCAGTGGGAAAGTACATTACAAATATGGCTGCTCAATTCCCTCTTCCTTGCCCATTCCATTCCTGCCTTCCCGCACTAAACCCCACTGCAATAGGACACAGAAAGAGTCCCTGAGAAGCTTGACTTCATGACACAAATGGGACACAGGCTCCCTATCAGTCCAGTGAGCCTGAAGGATTTCCACCCAAGGTAAGGCACTCTGTGCCCATGGAGGAAGGGGCAAGATTTGACCCTTAATAGATACCTGTGAATTATCGGATGATTCATAGCATGATTGTGTCTTTTCAAACTCTTCTGACTCCTCATATTTTTTTTTTTAAAAACCCTATATGATGGAAAGTCAGGTCCCCATGTACTCCTAAGACTTTGTCAGAAATTATGCTGCACACCAGTGACTCACTAATGTGTTGTATTTTATTACAGCTTAATATGTTGGAATTGAAAAGTTCAAGCCATACACAGTATTGCAGTAATGTAATTACATAATTATGTAGTCTATTAGATAATGTGATTGCCTTGAAATAATGTGATTATACAATATTTAGCTATTTTGTTCTTTCGAAAGTATGATCTGAAATAAATAAATCTTAGAGAGTGCATTAAATGTAGAGTTTCTTTTTATATTTCCTTTTCTTTCAGGCAACCAGTAACGAAAAACACATTTAGGCAGTACAGGGTACTAGGAAAAGGTGGTTTTGGGGAGGTGAGTAATTCTGAAAGCTTCTGTTAAGAATGTTTCTCACCTCACAGGCACTGCAGGTTAAAAGAAATCTTTTTCATAAGAAAGAGGATGGTTTTAACCACTTAATTGCTGACAGTTTTCTGTTAACATTTCATAAGATTATAACCCTCCAGGGTCACTTACAGAAATGACTCTCTTGTTTTGTTTGTTAGTTACTTTTGAATCATGCTCACGCAGTTATTATCTGTATCACAATAGCAACTAGAGGCCTCTGCTTAGATCAGGGCATCATCTAAATGCACAGTATGAAACAGGGCCCTGCCCTGAAGAGTGTATAATCTAAGGATTCATCTACACAGCAAAAAAACCCTGCGTCAGTAAGTCTCAGAGCCCAGGTCGACTGATTCAGGTTCGCACGGTGGAGCTAAAAATAGTCGTGCAGATGTTCAGCTCTGGCTGGAGCCTGGGCTCTGAAACACAGCAAGGGTCTTGGAGCCTGGGCTCCAAGCCTGAACGTTTACACTGCTCTTTTTAGCCTCGCAGTGTGAGCCCGAGTCAGTTTACCCAGGCTCTGAGGCTTGCTGCCATGTTGATTTTTCTGCTGTGTAGACATACCCTAAGTAGACGAGGCAGACAAAGGGTGGGAGTGGAAACAGGTATAGAAAGGTGAAATGACTACAGTAAGTTTCTAAAGCAGGTCAGTTCCAGAACCAGGGTGAGAACCCTTGTCTCTGGATGCTCTGTCCTGTGCCCTACGCAGTAGGCTACGCTGCTTCTCACACCATTAGCAAGCCCTTAAAAAAGCCTGCAGACAAATCAGACGGTGAGGTACTAAACTTTAGAGATAAAGGGTATTTTCTTTAAGCTACCCAAGTAATTGTTTTTCCCTTCTCTTTAATTTTTAGGTCTGTGCTTGCCAAGTCCGAGCGACAGGGAAAATGTATGCCTGCAAAAGATTAGAGAAGAAGAGAATAAAAAAGAGGAAAGGCGAATCCATGGCACTAAATGAAAAGCAGATTTTAGAAAAAGTCAATAGTCAATTTGTAGTGAGTATTGAACTCCTCTCTCTGGGTCCAGTTACATTGTCAGTCCCTGTGCATAATTCTTGTTGACTTCAGTGCCTCCAATTGGCTTCATGGTACACATAGTGGCAGTGGAAGCTGGCCAACTCTGTAATGCTTACTCAGTTTACCGGAGCCCTTCTCTTTTCCATTCAACTGATTCTAGTTTTGGCTTGTAGTATGTGAGATGTGCATCAAATGTGGTGGCTACTTCTATTTAGGGAATTTAAAATGTTTACTCTTTGCAGTCTCCAGTTGTATTGGGGTTGTGTCAGGCTGAGCTATGTTTATCCCCAGTGATTGCCTGATTTCCCAGTACTTGGGTGAGAGAGGGATTTGGTGAGAGTGAGCTGGCTGAGGCTCAACCCAGTAAGACGAAGGTGATGGTGCTTGGCTAGCAGGAAACATCTAGTCAATATGGGCCTGGTCTGTCCTGTCGGGGTGCCAACCCCCTCAGGTTGGCCAGGAGTCTCCCAGAATCGGCCTCAATCTCCTGGTTGCTATTGAAAGCAATCCGGGAGATTTTAATTGGCCAAAAGTCCGGTCAGCAGTGCAGTGGGGCATAGGCAGGCTCCCTACCTGCCCTGGCTCTGCGTGGCTCCCGGAAATGGCTAGCATGTCCGGCTCCTAGGCTCAGGGGCAGCCAGGAGGTCTCTGTGCGCTGCCCCCGCCCCAGGAACCAGCTCCACAGCTCCCATTGGCTGGGAACCGTGACCAATGGGAGCTGCAGGGGCGGTGCCTGAAGGCAAGGGCAGCACACAGAGCTGCCTGCCCACCCTTGAGCCTAGGAGCCGCAGGGACATGCTGCTGCTTCGAGGAGCCACCTGAGGTAAGCACCGCCCGGCCGGAGCCTGCACACCTCACCCCAACCCCGTGCTCCAGCCCTGAGCCCCCTCTCGCACCCAAACTTCCTCCCAGATCCTACACCTCAAACCTCCTCCTGCACCCCAACCCCCTGCCCCAGGCTCAGCCCGGAGCTCCCTCCCACACTCCGAACCCCTCGGCTCCAGCCCAGAGCCCACACCCCCTCCTGCACCTCAACCCCCTGCCCCAGCCCGGTGAAAGTGAGTGAGGCTGGGGGAGAGTCAGCGACAGAGGGTGGGAGGATGGGGTGAGCAGGGGCAGAGCCTCGGAGAAGGGGTGGGGCAAGGGTGTTTGGGTTTGTGCGATTAGACAGTCAGCAACCCTACCGTCCTGTGACTGAGGGTATGTCTACATAGATTTTGGAGCAAGCGGGAGCAAGCCTCCCAGCATGGATTGACAGACTCAGGCCAGCAGGGCTCTTGCTCTAAAAATAGTAGTAGAGACAGTGTTTTGCAGTTGTGACTAAGGCTCTGAAACGTAAGGAAGGGAGTGGGCCTCAGAGCCTGAGCTCCAGCCGGAGCTGCAACTGCAAAGTACGGCCTACGCAGCTATTTTTAAAGCACCAGCTTGAGGCCCCAGAGGATTCAAAATATCAGTCCATCATATTCTAATTGCTGGGGGGTTTAATGTGGTTTTGTAAAACAAGCTTGATGGTGCAAGAAGGCTTCTATCTTCTCCACACTTTGCTTTGTTTACAACACACTGTTGTCAAATTTTGGCACTTTTACTGTACAAAAGTTAGCAATGACTTCAACACAACTTATGACGGAACTGCGAGTGCTATTTTACAACTATCTTTCTAGGTTAACTTAGCCTATGCCTATGAAACAAAGGATGCACTGTGTTTAGTTCTGACCATAATGAATGGGGGTGACTTGAAGTTCCACATCTACAACATGGGCAACCCAGGCTTTGAGGAGGAGAGAGCTTTGTTTTATGCAGCAGAGATTCTTTGTGGCTTGGAAGATCTGCATAGAGAAAACACGGTATACAGGTAAGCTTTCCTCAGTGTCTTGGGATAGTCATCAGGTGAAGCTTGAATTGTAGGGCCTATTTCAGTGCAATACCTCCTACATGCTTATGCGGTGTCTCGGATTTCTCAGGGCTTTGGAGGAATACAATAAGACACAATAATAATGGAAGGAAGCAGTAGCTTTACAGAATACATTCTGTATAGATGATATAGAACATACTATATAGAACTCACTAAAGCTTCCAAAATCCTGTCTCAACTTGCATGTATAAAACCTAGACAGATTCTGTAGGAGTTATTTCTCCTAAGCTACTTCTTAGTCAGTATTATACAGAGATTATCCTGGGACATGAAACTTCTGTTTTTACTAGTTAGATTGTGGTAGTGACTGTAATGTGCTATGTACTTCCCAAACAGAAAAGAAGACAGAAGGGTACAGATTAAAAATACAAAGGTAAAGGATGGTGGAAAGGGATGTAACATGCAAGCAAAATGATGAGAGTGATTATGCACACATAGTTTGTTAACTACATGGTTGAGTTTTGTTGTTGTTTTTTAAATTAACACACTGGGTGTAATTCTCCTATCATGAATGCTGGTGTAACTCAGGAGTGACTCTCATAAAGTCAAAAGGAATTGTGGATAGGGGGATTATCCCTCTTCCTTCCGTCAAGGTAGCCAAATATGTTTTTTTTCTTAATGACCAGAGAGGTTTAAACATGGTGAGACGAGAATCTGCATATTTCCCTCCCATCACACTGTCTTCAGAAACACCACAGGTGTACTGAGAATATGCAGCACCATGAGATAATTACAGACCAAATTCCCCTCCCCACCCAACCTTCCCCTCTTCGGCCCCTTCAGAACGACACATTAGGCATTCTCTGTGGGTTTCTCATTCACTTGCTTTCTCTTTCTTTCTTTCCCTCAAGAAGCAACATTGTTGTTGGAAATGGACAGGTCAGTCAGCAGGGAGACCTATAAGCTGGGAAAAGAAAAGAATAATGACATTAGAAAGCATGTGGTCCTCCAGTAGGTGAGGGATTTATTCCTCTTCCTTCCAGTAGGGTGAATAAAACAATAGGTGTCTGAATGAAAGGACACTGATTTGAGCTTCAGAGAAGTCATGCAAGTGAGGCATGCTATAGACCATGTCATAACCTTGATCCAAGTCTGCAGCGTCAAGCTGAATGGATGCCGAATGTGCAGCTAGTAGGCAAAAAAAGACCCCAAGCCTGAAAAACTCAGCATGCGGTTCTTAATGAGGGTTAAACACTCTTTTATGGCACATCGGGTGCAGAGCAGGAGGACAGATAATGTGTCTGAGCTCTCCACCTCCATATTGGCTGAGCATCTCATTGCACCAGGACACCATGTACAAATGCTTTTGCAGAAGAGGTCAGGGATTTCTTGCTGAATCAGCAGGCTGGATGCAGAGTCAATTTCCATGGATGCCAGGAATATTTTTTTTCAAATGGCGCTCTAATATACTTTAAAATAATATGTAATGTTTGTTTTCCTGAGCCTGGCTTGTGAAATCATTATTACTGGCATTCTATACTGCAGAGGTCCTGTGTATTGATAAGGTACCATCCAAGGGGCATTACTTCCAGGAAGATAATGTGTTTTGACATGAGACCACAATTTAAATCATGAATGTGGCCATACAGCGTCTGGTGCTATCTTTATTGTGAGGAATAGGATAAGGAATGAAGCATTTATTGCAATTTTATACCAGTTCTGGCTGTGATCTTGCTAACTCTCACAGGGAGTGTCAGGGAGTATTTTGGGAGAGGAAACTTCTGAGAGGAGTGATGGTGATGGGTGACATTACATTCCTGCCCATGACACTGTTCCAGCACTATTTTGGAAGTTTCAGCAATGGCCCATTATTTGTAATTCTATTAAGTGCTTTGGGTCTTACGAACGGCACTATAGGGCAATAAATGTAGTAACTAAAATGCCACAGCTTGAGCCAAGTGAATAATTCATAACAACACACTTTTTCATCACATTTCACTTCTTACTCTATTTGCAAAATGTCTGCAAGTAGTTGACAAAAATTCCAAAATGTATTCATTTTTAGATAGCTCTGAAACCAATACCATCAGAGGAGAATGTGTCCAGTTTGGAATATTTACAATTAAATATACAATTCAGAGTTCACTTCCTGTTACTAGTCAAACATTTGAGCTTAAATTTCACTTTTCAACCATGTTTGTAATAGTAGAGCTCAACTGTTCCTGGAAAGCAAGCATGCTGCGGACCCAGCTGAATTATTAATTATTATTTATGTTACAGTAGTGCCTGGAGTTTCCCATCTACTGTATATCCGGGCCACATTGTTTTAGGCACTGTAGAAATATATAGTTAGGCCTTGTACAGCTTTAACTACCCCAGTACAACCTCCCTACTGTGGATGCAGTTATATCAGTATAAGAGTGCTTATACCTGTACAGCTTATTCCACTATGGGAAGGGGAATAATCTTATATCAGTATGATACCTATGCCTGTCTAAGTGGAGAAAGTGACTAGGGGAGAGGCTGTTCTAGATTTGATTCTGACAAATAGGGAGGAACTGGTTAAGAGTTTGAAGGTGAGAGGCAGCTTGGGTGAAAGTGATCACGAAATGATAGAGTTCATGCTTCGAAGGAACAGTAGGAGGGAAAACAGCAGATTAAAGACAATGGACTTCAAGGGACCAGACTGTAGCAAACTCAGAGAATTGGTAGGTAAGATCCTGTGGGAAGCAAGTCTAAGGGAAAAGAGAGTTTATAAGAGCTGGCAGTTCTTTGAAGACACATTATTAAGTATACAAGAGCAAACTATTCCAGTGCATGGGGAAAATAAGAAGTATGAGGAGAGACCATCCTGGCTTAGCCAGGCTTTCTTCAATGACCTGAAACTGAAAAAGGAGTCATACAAAAAGTGGTAAATAAGTAAAATTATGAAGGATGAATATAAAAAAACCCCAACACAAGCATGTAAGGACAAAATCAGAAAGTCCAAGGTACCAAATGAGATTAAGCTAGCTAGGTACATAAAGGGTAACAAGAAAACATTTTACAAATATATTAGAAGCAAGAGAAAGACCAATGACAGGATAGGCCCATTAGTCAATGGGGAGGGGAAAACAATAACAGAAAATGCAGCAATGGCCAAAGTGTTAAATGTAATTTTTGTTTCAGTTTTTACCAAAATGGTTAGCAGGGGTCCGATGACTAACATAATGAACATCAGTGTAAATGGGGTAGGATCTGAGGCTAAAATAGGGAAAGAACTAGTTAAGAATTACTTAGACAAGTTAGATGTATTCAAGTTGGTAGGGCCTGACAAAATACATCCTAGAATACTTAAGGAACTGGCTGAAGAGATCTCTGAGCCATTAGCAATTATCTTTGAGAACTCATGGTGGAGGTCATGACAGGTTCCCCTGGGGTGCCACCTGGAACTGGGGTATCACTGAGCCCTCTTGACCCACCAGCTTGGGCTCCTTCTCATACTGTCCTGCTGTGACAAGTGCAAAGCCCTCCAAGCTTGCACATTCACCAGCATTCACATGGGTAGGAACACACCCAGCTGTACTTATATGCAGGCTCTCTAACCATCCGCCTCCCAGCCTAGGACCCCAGTCCAGCAGTATCATCCTGCCCTGGTCAAATCTGGCCAGTATATGGGTTTAACACCTGGTCTGCCTCTCCCTCAGTGTGAAGAGGACCATGCACATTTGTGGTAACCAAGCTTAGATTTTCTCCAGACATCTTAGCCAAACACAGACTAGTTTGGATTAAGACATCAAATAAGTTTATTAACTACAAAAAGATAGATTATGAGTGATTAGAGTGATAGCAAAGAGATCAAAGCAGATTAACTAGCAAATAAACAACACATGCAAACTAAACTTAATATACTATATAGATCGGATATGAATAGCAAATCTTCACCATAAGTGATTATACAAGCAAGTTGCAGACTCTTAAGGAGCAAGGTGCACTGGCTTATAGCTTGGCATCCCCAGGTGTTCCATTCACAGGCTAAAAATCCCTTTAGACTGGGGCCAGCACTTCCCCCAATTCAGCCTTTGTTCCTAAGGTGTTTCCAGGAGTCTCTTTGGGTGGGGAGTCAGTGAAGAACCATGATGATGTCTCTCCCCTGCCTTAAATAGATTTTGTATATGGTGGGACTCCTTTGTTTCAAAGCTTGGTTCCCACACCAGTCAGTGGAAAAACACTGATATCCCAAGATGGAGTCCAGCACCAGGTAACCTGGTCACATGTCCCTGTAGTGTCGCAGTAGCCATAACTCAGAGGCTGTCTGTAAGGTCCTTAGGAAGGCTCCCGGGTGGGAGATAAGCTTATTCTAAGGCCTATTGTTTTCTCCTAATGGCTCATTAACCTGAATGGGCCCTTCTCACCAGCCATCTATACTGAGAGCCTTTTGCCTAGTGGGCATTCTCCAGGTATAAACACATTTGTAATATAGATACATAGTCAATATCCCCAAATTCAGGTACAAAAATGATACATGCATACAAATAGGATAATCATATTCAGTAAATCATAACCTTTCCAGTGACACCTCACATGACTTATCTTGCATAAAATACATCATAATTATGCCATAATCATATCATCATAATAATATCTCTATGAAGAATATGGAGTGCAGTGTCACAGAGGGGAGATGTCCCAGCGGACTGGAAAAGGGCAAATATAGCACCTATCTATAAAAAGGGGAAAAGAACAACCCAGAGAATTATAGACCAATCAGCTTAACTTCTGTACCCAGAAAGATAATGTAGCAAATAATTAAGCAATTAATTTGTAGGGACCTAGAAGATAAGGTGATAAATAATAGTCAGCATGGATTTGTCAAGAGCTAATCATGCCAAACCAAACTAATACCCTTCTTTGACTGGGTAACAAGCCTCGTGGATGGGGGAGAAGCAGCCGATGTGATATATCTCAAGTTTAATAAGGCTTTTAATACTGTCTCACATGACTTTTTCATAAATAAACAACGGAAACAGTCTAGACAAACCTATTATAAGGTGAGTGCACAACTGGTTGGAAAACCATATTCAGAGAGTAGTTATCAATGGTTCACAGTCAAGCTGGAAGGGCATATTGAGTGTAGTCTGCAGAGATCTGTCCTGGGTCCATTTCTATTCAATATCTCCAAAAATGATTTGGATAATGGCATAAGAGAGTACACTTATAAAGTTTGCACATGATACCAGGCTTGGAGGAGTTGCAAGTGCTTTGGAGAACAGCACTGGAATTCAAAATGATCTTGACAAAATGGAGAAATGATCTGAAATAAATAGGATAAAATTCAATAAAGAGACATGCAAAGCACTACACTTAGGAAGGAATAATCAATTGCACAAATACAAAATGGGAAATGACTGCCTACAGAGGAGTACTGCAGAAAAGGATCTGGGGGTTATAATTGATCACAAACTAAATATGAGTCAATAATGTAATACTGTTGCAAAAAAAGCAAACATCATTCTGGGAGGTATTAGTAGAGGTGTTGTAAGCAAGACACGAAGTAGGTCTTCCTCTTTACTGAGCACTGATAAGGCCCCAACTGGAATACTGTGTCTGGTTCTGGGCACCACACTTAGAAAAGATGTGGACAAACTGGAGAAAGTCTAGAGGAGAGCAACATGAAGGTCTAGAAAACATGACCTATGAGGAAATATTGAAAAACTTGGGTTTCTTTAGTCTGGAGAAGAGAAGGCTGAGGGGGGACAAAACAGTCTTCAAGTACGTAAAAGGTTGTTGTAAGGAGGAGGGTAATAAGTTGTTGTTCTTAACCACTGAGGATAGGACAAGGAGCAATGGGCTTAAATTGCAGCAAGGGAGATTTAAGTTAGACATTAGGAAAAACTTCCTAACTGTCAGGGTAGTTAAGCACTGGAACAAATAACCTAGGGAGCTTGTGGAATCTCCATCATTGGAGGTTTTTAAGAACAGGTTAGACAAACGCCTGTCAGGGCTGGTCTACTCTAGATAATACATAGTCCTGCCATGAGTGCAGAGGACTGGACTAGATGACCTATCGAGGTCCCTTCCAGTTCTACATTTCTATGATTCTATAACTGCATTCACAGTAGGGCTTTTATTAGTATAACTATTTCGGTAAAAAAATGACACCACTCTAAAAATTCATAGTTATACCATTAAAATATTCATGTGTAGACCATGCATAAGAGACAGTCTCTGCCCTGGAGGTGCTTACAGTCTAAAAGACAAATACAGGCCGGGAGAACAGAAGTATTTTTCCTCTATTTTACAGATAGGGCACCGGGGCACCGAAAGATAACATGCCTTGTCATACATGGAGCTAGTGACAGAGCTGGGACTTGAATCACTGTCTCCTGAGACCCAGCCCAGAGTGTAAATCACAAGACCATCTTTGCTCCTATTCAAATCAAAATTAATTTCTGAATTCACCTGAACATGCAGGAATTTTCTTTTTCCTACTTCACTTGGCTGATCCTGCAGCATGAAATTTGACGGGTTGCTGACAGGATTGAAAATGAAAGTAAAGGATGGAATCTAGGCTCCTCAAGGAAATGGCTCCTAAGAGTTTAAAATTAGATTGAAAAAAGTATGTGGGGAATGACTTTTATTACATGGCTCCAACACGGAGAGCCTTTGGTTAACATTGAGAGAGAAGCACACAGTAGTATGTAAAATAAAGTCATACATTCTCCACAGCATTCTTCTCCCCTTCACATATTTGAGTACTGTTTGTTTGAAAAGTAGGCTCGGTACCACTGGGCACTCAGCAAAGTTTGTCTTGTGAGGTCAAGAGGGTTTTTAACTGGCAAAGGGCAAAAAAGAACGTTTGTGGCACCATGTGTTTCTACTTAAAATAATAAACGAGAGCAAGATAGGTTTTGCAAATGTGCCCTCGGCACTGTCAGATTATAAAATACCCCTATCCAATGATTGCAAAACTCCAGTTATTCCAATAGCCCAGTTTGAAATATCAGGGAGCACTCCTGCATGGACTCTGTACGGTGTGTGGGCCTTCTGCAATGCAGATTTTTCTCCTTCTAACACCCACTGCCCACACACGCACACACACACACGTGCGCATGCACACACAATTTGAAAAGAAATCTTTCTTAATGGGGAATCTAATATATTCATAAATCCAGGTGGGGCCTTTAAAAAACAGTGATCCAAATTCTACCTGAATTTACACCCTGTTCAACCCCATTACTTTAACACAGTTATAGGGGGAAGAACTTGGTCTATTGCGAGCAATATGATGCCTGTTCCCAAACCTGTATTCCCCAGATAGTCCCAGTCTCCCTCACCTTCAGGATCTTCATCTAATCTCAGTCTTCCTGCCCTCCACTGCTCCCCGTCCCAGGCTTCTTGCCCAACCAGTCCCCTCCCAGTCACATCCGCATTGCTCCCAAACCCAGTCTCTGCACATACGCCCAGACTCCTTGTCCCAATTTACTTCCTTCCTCTCCATTCAAGTCCATCCTATGTGCCCTCTGCATTTGACTCTGGCTTTTCCTTCTTTATGCCTGGGTGTCAGCAGGGAGGGAGAGCATTGGAAACATAGGAGACAGTGTCCCTGCTCTCATTTCTAGAGCCTGGCATGACAGCAGCCCACAGCAGCTGGAAGCAGCATTGCAGGAGAAATTCTGCTCAGCCCCAGCAGCCCTGGAATGAGTCTGGCCAGCATATAGGAGCTGTGAGGGGATGGAGCATGCTCAGTGCAGATGGAATCCTCTAAGAGAGGGGTTCTCAAACTTTTTCTTTCTGAGACCCCCCCCAACATGCTATAAAAACTCCATGGACTAGCTGTGCCACAACAACTGTTTTTCTGCCTATAAAAGCCAGGGCCGTCGTTCGAGGGTAGCAGTTGCCTGGGATCCCACACCACAGAGGGTTTTGCTCTGGCTTCAGCTTCAGTCCTGGGTGGTGGGACTTTAGGCTGCAGTCCCACATGGCGGAACTTCAGCTTTCTGCCCTGGCCCTAGCGAGTTGAATGCCAGCCGTGCTTGGCAGACTCCCTGAAACCTGCTTGTGGCCCCCCCATGAGGTCCCGGACTCCTGGTTGAGAACCACTGCTCTAAGAATGAGATGACAAATTCTATCAAATCTCTACTGCATTTGTGTGAACCAAGGTTTTTCAAAGGCTTATATCTTTGGGCATTTTATAACAGGAATAGCAAAAGACACATCCCTGACACCAGGGCAGCCACTTTGTCGACTTTCAAGCCCTTACTCCCAATCATGGAGGTACTAGAGCTTCTCAATGACATGGTTGTAAAAAGATTTTTACCATGGGCAAAACAACATATTTTCCCCTAACTTTGTTCTGAACCATTTTTGCTGAAACTTTCCAAAACAAAAACAAAAAAAAAAAACAGGCTGAGGCAGACACCAGGCTAGGAAAGTTTCAGCCTGAATGGTTATAACTGACCAAATTTATAAGCAACTGAAAATGGGATTTTATGATGGGAACTGTCAGGCAACCTTAACTACAGGCGGGGTAGCTACTATCTCGGCCTATAACATGTGCCAGGCCAACTATCAGAAGGCAGTGTGAATCCATTAGAAAGCAAATTATGAAGTGAAGTCTTTCCTTGGGGAAACAATTTAACTGCAGTTCAGAAAAAGACATATATGGACTCAGTCTTGCTGTGCAATAAATAGTGGAGTCTCATATTGGTTTTACAAGTTCTTTACTGTTTCAGTTGACTCCCAACTGGTTTATCGCCAGCAGGATATGTACTCATACCCTGCACTGGGCTTGTGAACCACTCTCACACAAATAACTGCTATCTTTCATTTTCAGAGATTTGAAGCCAGAAAATATCCTGCTAGATGATTATGGTAAGTCTCAGAGATTTAGAGATATTTTTTTCACAGGAGAGTAGCTTAAGTTAGTTTTAGGACACATTGTAATAAGGCAAATAATGCTCTCAAGTGAATAAGAGGCTCATCAGATACTAATGCTTGTGTCTTGGGATGCATAAAGTGATAAACTGTACACAAAAACTGCTACACAGCTGAGGAAACTAGGCTGCATGGCAGACTATGTTCCTTTGGACAATGGCTTTCCTAGCAATGGGTCTGCCTTTTCCAGTGTCTTCCCTACATTACTTCCACAATGGGAAGGAAGTTGTGAAATCTATGCCCCCAACTCCCTTCTCAGAGGTACTTTACCCCCTGTTTGTCAGCTGTCATTTTATTCAAACCAGTGAACCCATTGCTAGCTGCAACCTGCCATGATCAAGTCTCATGCTTCAGTGCATAAACTAATCACTGCTATGGTCAGGAAGGAAATTTCCCCCATTTACAGCGGTGCAGAATTGGTCAAAGGGCAGGTATATCTTTCTTTGAGGCAGGAAGTCTATGGGAAATCCTGTGTTCCTATGACTTTGGCTCAGCACTGACCATGCCAGTGCCAGGTTTCCTGGTGCAGGACATGAGTGACTACCATCATGTATATGATGTGCTTCCATTTGAACTGTGGCTTTCAAGCCTATGCAGCCTTCAGACCATTACTAAATCATTAGGCCATTTATAATTTAGTGAACTATCAAATTGCTACCTACTTGGTCCTCTGATACCACAGAAATGAGATTGCGGTAGGAACCTTAATGGACTAAATAGATTAAGTTACCCAAGTTATCTCAGTCTTGACTCTCCCACCTTTCTAAAGGAATGATACACTATAGACTAGGGATCTGTAAAGTTACTGGACATTTTAATGAAAACACTGCTGTAAAATGCAGTGTACTTGAGCTGATTTCTATGTTCAATATACTCCATAGTTGTTGAGTGGTTTCCTTTCTGAGATAATTTGATTTAAGTTAAAAATATGGTCGGGGGGTGGGGGAGGCGGGCAAATATAATTTCAAAATCTGTTCCTTTACTCACATGCTCCCCAATCTTTGACTTTCCAAAATCTGGATATAAGTAGTAATGACCTCCAGGTTTTCAGGGCTCTTAAATAGTATTTCTCAAGGAACAGACTCTTATGTGGCAAACAAGACCTGAAAGTGGAGCTTTAGTTATAGATTCAGGACCAAATGTAGTTACTTTTACAAGGTAAATTATCATACAGTGATAAAAGTTAGAGATTGAAAAGACCAATTAGGTCAACCTGTCCATCCCTTAGGTCAATGCAAGATATTTCCTGACAATGTACCTACCATTGTTTTTATTCCAGTCCAGTTTTAGATACGTCAGGCACTGAAGACTAGTCCACAGTGTAACACACCTCACTGTTTGGATTTTTTCACTGCCATTCAGCCTAAACCTTCCTTTTTTTAATTTCACTGCATTGCTCTTAGGCAAAACCCTGAGTGTCACCCAAAATCATTTCTCCCGCCCTGACTGTAGTTTTTCAAAGTCAGTGCTAGTGACATTTTTCTTCTCACAGCATTCAGATGAATTTCAAAAGTGGTCCATTGAGTGTAACTTTTGTGGTTTTAGCCACTGGAGGACTGCACTTTAATATTTGCTTTTTCCCCCTTAGGCCATATTAGAATATCTGACCTGGGTCTAGCTGTTAAAATCCCAGAGGGTGACTCAATCCGTGGAAGGGTAGGAACAGTAGGGTATATGGGTAAGTACCTCAGTAGCTCATTTTATTGATAGTTTACTCTGCTTTTGTGACTTTGGAGCTCCGCCTGGAGTGCTGATTAACTAAATCTATAGGAAACTGTTCTACAAGACCAGAGCATCAAACCAGTAGAGATGTCTGTGAGTTTTCCAGTATTTTTAAGGGGCTATATTAAGGGATGGCTGTTTTTTCTTCTTCTGGCTTGATTCCAATTTCCTGGTGATTGCCAAAGGGGTTTCAAATTTTGCAATGGTCTTCAAATGAGCGTGGTATTAATTCTCTCCTGCTTTAGAATATAAAACAAGTCAGCATTCAGTTAGCATGTTACAAATGCAGAGCTCTTCAACATAAAGAGAGAATGTGTGAGTGGGCTAAATTGAACCTTGCAGTCAGTAGAGTTATACTAGCGTTAACTACAGTGTGTGTGTGTGTGTGTGCTAATGTGTACTAGAGGGGGAAGAACTGTATGTGTGTGTATTAAAGTGTGAGGGGACATCTACCCTGCAAGTGAAGGTGTGATTGTAGCATGAGTAGGCATATCCATGGTGATGAAGACATGTCAGCATGGGCTAGCAACCAGAGTACATATCCAGGATCCCCAGCAGGCTTGTACGTGGCTTGCTAGCTTGTGCTGAAGTCTATGCCATCACCTCTCACTACTATTGTTACCTGTGCCAGCTGGGTTAAAATTAGCATGTGTATGCCTGCCCTTGCTACAATCACACATCCACTTGAGTACAGACATACACTGTGAGACTCTGTGTATCTGTTAGAAAGAGAAAAAGTATGTGTGTGTACATGTATGAGAAAGCGAGTGTGTGTGTGTGAGAGAGAGAGAGGTTTTCTCTGTGTGTTTGTGATAGAGTGAGCAAGTCTTTTTGTGTTTCAGACAGAGAGAGACTTTGTGTGAAAAGGAGAGAGTTGGTGTGCTAGTCTACACACAAACATGTACTGATATAACTAACCCAGTTTCCTAAAACCAACTGAGTTATTTCAATGTAAATCTGTATGCGGACACTCATTTTGGAATAAAAGTGGTTTAAAATGTTTTGGCTAAAGTTGATAACAATCTGACTTTAGCCACTTGTATTCCACAGGTAGACTTGCATCTAAGTAACTAAATAAGTTATAAAGCACATCTTTAGCTATCCTGGTGCAAATCTGTGTGTAGCTCAGGACCATGTGTTTGTGTTCAGAGAGTAAACATACATGTTGGAAAGTGACTGTATGCAGAGTGAGTATATATACAGCACACAGTAGATGTTTGTATTTTAAATGAAAATATATACACAAACTGATCCAAAGGACAGAATTTGCTTTTTAGGAAATTTTGTTTTTGTTTAAATAATGTTTGTTTGTCATTTCTTTTTTAAATGTAAAGTCTTTATGAACTTTCAAGATTGGGCTAGTCAAAAATATTTGGCTTCCACTGATTTTTGTTGTTGTTTTTTTAAACCCCAGCTGTATTTTTATATATGCTTCTGCATGAATAGCTGTATTCTGTATTTTCTGTAACTCAGCTAGTAGAAGCCAGGAGGGACTCTTATATTTTTCCCCACAGTTCTCTCCAGCTGTATATTCAGTCATTGAAATAAGAGGGCTAGGGGGGTTGAGTTATTTTTCTATAGAAACGTTAAGTGTTTTCACAAGATGTGTCTTTGTCCCTCACAGCACCAGAAGTCTTGAACAATCAGAGATACACCCTCAGCCCTGACTACTGGGGGCTAGGTTGCCTCATTTATGAAATGATTGCTGGACAATCACCCTTTCGTGGAAGGAAAGAGAAGGTAAAGAGAGAAGAGGTGGACAGGAGAGTCCTGGAGACAGAAGAGGTGTACTCCCATAAATTTTCTGAGGAGGCAAAGTCTGTCTGTAAAATGGTAAGGGGATTTGACAACTCACTGTGGTCGATTCGTTAGCAGGCTGTAGCCCACAAACTACAACTCAGAGGGCTGCAGAACGCAGGGTTAACCCCACCAGTCCATTAGCAGGAGATTTGCATCCACCGTTCGTCCAGATTGTGTTGAGTGGGTTTATTTGGGGTTGTTTTTTTTTCAATGCTGGTTTGAGTTTCTTGAGGATCAGCGTGATTTTAGCTAATCTTCTTTGGATGGGGGAGTAGTAGCTATATTTTCATGGATTCAGGAGACTTTGAATACCAGATTTTAGCCAAGAATGTACCTTGTGGCTTTTATGAACCTTGTGGGAAGAAAGGCCTGATGCTGCAGGACTCTTGAGTGTCTCATGCAAGACCTGAGCACTCTTAACTGCCATTGTCTTCCATGAGAGTTGAGAGTACTCAGGACCTAGATTACATTATGAAAGTGTTGTAAACCCCTTCCCCCCACCCCCAACTTGCTTCCTTTACTATCACTTATCCCTAGGGCTGCCATGCTGACCGGCTTGTTAAATCACTGTTGGGCTGTCCTTTAAAATGTCTTTTGTTACCCTTTCAGCTGGGAGTGCTCTTTTCTAGAACCATGGCCGTTGCTGGTAAGGGAAATCCCCAAACCACATGGGAAATCCCCAAACCATGTAAGAGTTAATCAATGCCATTCCAGCGTACGGCTTCGAAAGGCCAAATTTTAATTTGGAAAGGAGTGTTACCTTAGCCTTGATTTTCTAGTGTGGTGTCCTGCAGGGTAATGCAAACTAGCAGAGAAACAGAAGAAAAAGGAAAGGTTAGTGAATAAATAGCGCAAGCTTCACCAATACCTCGCGCAACACACAGGCAAGCAGTGTATTAATATCATTCTGGTTGGTGGACTGGATGGGAGCTACTGAGGTCTCCTAGCAAACTAAGAACAGCATCACCGGCAAGCATCATGAGTGCAAGTCATTCACTCGCAGTGCACTAACCCAATGCCTCATCTCATGGAGTGGTAATTAACGGGCATCATTCCTGATAGATTCTTGAGGGCATATGCTGTTTTGATCGGCGAGTAGAACTCCCCACTGATGTCAGTGGGAGTTGAGTACAAAGGTAAAGGACAGTAGGCGATTCCTTAATGATGGTTTCATGCATTCAAACAGCCTGCCTTCTCCTGACAAGCCCAATTTCAACTAATGATAGGCAAGGGGGAAAGCCTTCTGGTGGCAACGTGGTGTTCATGAGCCATGCCAGCATTAAGTTTACATTACACACCAAACAGAAACCTCCAGCCTGTTGTAAAGAAATGGATAGGAGACAAAAATGATTTTTACTTCTGTTTCTGCACCTAGTTATAGGGCTGGAAGCATGATGGGAAAAAGTGTCATTCAGAGTAAAATAATGTAGCCACTGTCCATAAAAAGTTAAAGCTGAGGAGAGCTAGGTGAGGGTTAGTGGACTGGTGGTAGAATTGTCCCGTCCCTGATGTCATGCCTATCAGAAATCAGCCAATAAAACTAGATTAGGTCAAGGGGCAGTTGGACATAGCGGGTGTCAGTGATAATCTCTTTTACCCATCAGGGGAAGCACTTCACACACTTTAGGGCACTCTTCAAAATGAATAATAATACATAATAATAATACCTCATAATGAGATCTTGAACTCTCAGATATCACAAAACCTCCCCTTTAACTCTGTCAGAGAGACTTTTGAGTCTCCTCCAGGTTGATGGGACCTGGGACATCATGCACGTTGGTTGGTGTAATATACAATGTTTTATTTATCTCTGCCTCTTTGTTACCTAACCCAATCAGTATCAGTATGGTTCATTCACTGAGTGTCGACCATGTGCACAGTGTCTTATTTTTCTAACCGTAATAAAGTTAGTTAAAACAAAGTCTCTCCTTTGGGTGCTGGTTTCCATTTTGAGACCAAAATTAATCTAATGGGCCCCCTTATATTAATTGACCTAACGGGTGTTGTGACTCTCCTTGTGCTGTTTCCCCACCCTGCTCAGCATTTTCCATATTATCCCATAAATTGCTTCCCTTATTCCTGTCATTTTAAGATGGAAAGGCTTTTTTTTTTGTCATGTGGTATGATATGAATCTGACAGACTGAATCTCCTAACACATATTTAATCCATAAATGTATAAGGGGGTTGTGGGTTGATTAATTTAACAATCCCTGCTCCAGTTGTTTCTTTTCCTGTAGAGGGGAAAACTACACAAAAAATGTCTCTGACATTACAGAGTTGGAATCCCTAACTGAGATCTGAATTTGTGACATCAAAGGATCAGAGAATCCTTTGTACCAAAGTATGGAGCATTAGCAGTAGTGTGACATTGCCATTTCAGACCACTTCGTGATAGCCCTATGCTGGTGATTGTAAATCACTGTGGATTAAATGCTGCCCTCACTTACACCCTTGCCATCCCACTTTGTGCCTGTGTCATCCTGATGGAAAGTATTGCTGCTTAGGATCAACTTCACTGGTTGGCGTGAGGGTCTCTAGGAGATTTTCTGACTTGTAGCTCTGTTCATAGACAATAGGCTCTGAATTAGATTAAAGTACGATTGCTCCAGTCCTTTGGCTAATGTCCCAAGAGGCCTTGCCATCAGTAATGATGCATTCGCTTTTGCTGTGCCTTATTCATATTAAATGCATCTTTTGCAAATTTAACATTTAAAAAGAAAACCCTCTGCAAACTATAGAGACAGCTCAAAATACACAGTCATCATCTCCATTCCTGGTCATGTCTACATGAGATGGACATTTCAGTCTCATATCCAGGCTGACTATTGCTAAAGCCCACTGGAGCTTCAGCAAGCAGGAGGACCTGTCAATGCCTGTGGAGTAGTGGGCCACCTCCTTCTACAAAACTCCCCAGTCCACTCTGCTTCCTGCCAGCAGCAGCAGATAAGGAGTCTCCTACTTCACCTGAGCTACAGAGCATTGGAAAGTCCTTACAGAATTTCCATATGGCTCCAGGTTTGTCCCTGCTGGGACTCATGGACTCTTTAAGAAGTTTGCTCAGCAGCATACAGGCCTCAGGCAAAGGCAGAGAGATGAGTGCTGGTTCCTTGTAGCTGAGCCAGACAGGAGAATCTTGCCCTTTCTGTGTCCAGGTGGAGTTCCCCCCAGCAAGTGCATTCTCCTCTCAAACAGACCCCACTGCACCAACAGAAGCAGCTTCCAGGCAGTGGCCCCAGCTGGAGGAACAGTTGTTGGCACTTCAGATCCAGGCTCAGTGTGTCTTGTGAGGCAGTGTCTCAACAGTGGCCAGACAGTTGTGCAGTGACCAGTGGTTTCAGCCAACTCCCAGCTGCCTGCTCCACCTATGCCTCCGCAGCCAGAAGCAGCGATACACCAGCTGCCAACTCCATTCATGCTCCAAAGACCGGCTTCCGCATCAAAGGTTGTTGCAAATTGGCTCCTGGACACCGCTGAGGCACTCAGGTCTCCCCACCCAGTCCCACCCAGCTTCAGCCAACACACCCTGTGACCGCATGTACCAAACAGCAGCCTGAACATTTTCTGCCAGACGAGGATCAATTCCCAGATTGAGTTAATATCCCCAGCCAGCCCAGAGGTTGAAGCTCTGCAAGGACTATTGGAAACTATAATAAAGCAATGCGGCCCTTTTGTCTTCCCTCCATCCTGAGAAAGAGCTGCAGGCATCTTCTGTCTAACACAGGCTGCTCCAATTCTACCCCTGCCCACTGCATCTCTCAGTTGTCAGCAGTGCTAGCCCTGAAAGCTTCTGAACATCAGTAAAACATTTTCCAGGAAAAAGTCAGCCAAAGTAAAGCCCAAGAATGAGCAGAAACTTAAGAGTAAAAGAGAGCCTTCTGTGCTGAGATTTCTCCTCTCATAGGACGACAGGACCCTTCAGCATAAAGGCAGGAAGTGGATGTGGTCTTTTTCCTCTCTGCCCAGGAGCTACAGAAACTGGCTGGAGAAAAGTCGGACTCAGATGGGAAACTCTTTAGACCATCAACCTCAGTGAGCTTTCCCTATAAAGGGTGGAATTTAGAAACCTGCTGTGGTTAAAAAAACACAAATGCAGAGAAACATGCCCCAAGACATCCCAGTTCACAGTCTCATGCAAGCCATCAAAAGCAAAACTTCCTTTCTGCCCTTCATCTGAGCAAGGCAAGTTGTCTGATTTTGATCCAGTGGAAGAGTGCCAGAAAAGATTCTTTCCCCTGGACTGTTTCAGCATGATATTGTACCAGGTAACCGTTGAACCTTGATCACTTGAACCTACTGTGCACATAGAATGGTGAGACAACAAATAGATGCTGTCCTTCAAACCCCCTCCACCACCTCAAAAGAGCTTTGAAGGTGATTAGATTGAGAGGAGCTAATAAATAAGTCTGAGGCTCATTAAGCTGTCTCAAAGGTTCCATGCAGTCCCAGTGCCAAAATCAGCCTGTCACCATCCCAAAGGTTAACACTGTCTTTGGTGACCTTGTGAATTAATTGGTCATCATTTTGGGGGGTGATTGCCAGATTCAGTCTTCCTGGCAAGGCAGTTACACCTCTGCCACACTAAAATTCTGCTGATTCGGCATCTCTTACTTGAGCTGTTCAGTTGTGTATCGGCTCCCTCTCAGAGGCTAAGGACCAGGAGCCAGTGGCTTTGATATCAGACTTGTCCCTGGATACTCTTTGTGACTAGGTTTGTGACAAGCCATTTATGGATCAGGCAGTGGAAGGCAAACCACCAAATTGTTGGTGTCATGCAGGGAGCAAACTGGAGAAGCCTTAGGAAATGTTATCCTATAAGCCAAGGATGAGCGTGAGAAACCCCTGTCATTAGCCAGGCACCCAAGGAGAGATTACAAACCTTCCATCAGGAGCAAACAGTCCTTTCAGCTTCTGCAGCTGAGACCATCATTCAGACAGAGGACACTGGAACACATCACGGCTAGGCATGACATCTCCAGACAACCCTCCCACTACAGCAAGGATGCCTGATTCCCCATCTTCCTTCCCCAGACCTGAGGTGCTGTGATCCCTGTGGGCATCCTCCGATTCTCAGTCCAATGGGCTGTATGGTAAAATTCAGCAGATCTTCCCTTTCTCTCACAGAGTGATTTGTCCCCTTCCTAGCTCTTGGAACATGGTAAAGCCCAAGCAGATGATGGAGGCTATATCCCCATTTGCTGATTATTGAGGCTCTTGGATCAGTACTAAGGCTGGAGAGATGACTAGTGATTTGTTCACATTGTTCCCCAGGCAGCAGAGCTAACTTGGGTTCCAAGACCCTGAACATCACAGTTCAAAATGGAGACCTGGAAGTCCAAGTCCACCATGGCTGCCATTTCTCAAGGTGATTTGTTAGCCTCAGCAAGACCTATCTACATGTCCAGCCCTTGGGGTTTTACTGCAGTAGGACTCCCTCTGTAGGAATGGCATAGTTGGAGATGATAAAGAAAGGCCTGGTGGTTTTTCTTCTCTGAGCATCCAGGCTTGTCATTCCAGCCCTTCCTAGGGTTGGAGTTCCAGCAACCCTTCAGTTCAGAGGAAGATGTGATTGTTGTGCTGCACAGAGAGGTGAAATACAGGAAGGGAACTACTACTCCTTGTTTCATCTTTGGAAGCAGTGTCCCCAGAGAGGTTCTCAGACACGGAGCCATGTCCCTGCTGATCATCTGCCTCCTTAGGGGGCAGAACCCACTAGGAATGGTCTGCTTGAATACTCAGAAGAGGCAAATGAATCACACAGTGCTAGTGAGTCTGTTTGGCTGGGGGTTTGCCTACTTACTCAGCCATGTTTTTCTGATGCTTTTGAAAGTGTAATGCTGCTCACATACTAGATGTTTGCTATGTACTTGCTGCAATTAGCTTTTCCTCTGTTGCCCCCTGGTGGATTGAGATGTTCTAAGAACAGCTGAGCTGTGTGAACTATTAGCTGTACCCTCCTGTATAATAATTTCCCTCTATATTGAGAATGAAGCTGTATTTCTTTCTCTCCCATCCTACGTTTTTTCTTCCTTTTCTCAGTGCTTGGAGAGAAGGAGGGAGTACCCCTTATACGCCTTGCTGCTAATGCATGATAGAGTCCTTTTTAACCTAAGGCTTTTGCTAGCCTGACTTGTCCGTGTAGCGTATGTCTTGGCTGCCTTTTTGGAATCAGACTGCCACGGGAGAGTCTTTAGTTAAAACTCTCCGGTCAGATATTCCCCATATGGTATTCCCCTGACTCTAGTAAGTATCCCCTTCTCATTTAAAAGGGCAGGTTTTTTATTTTCTCCCCAGTCTTTCAGCATTAGAAACCAGCATTTGCTAGAGAAGATATGCTAACAGATCTAACTTTAATCTTTTTGTAAAATCAGTTGATTTTATTGCGTATTTATTTTCCTTTGACTTATCAAGGGGAAGTATTTTTCACTATATGAGTCAACTGCAGTGTCAGTTTATTATGAGTTGTGGCTCATGTTTCACTGTTTTGGCTAAAAATGCCTGCATGCAAGAAAAAAACACTTAAACTGAATGAAGACAACCCCTCCCCCACAAACCTTTCAGGCCACTGTCAGTTTTACGGTTCAGGAGAATGTCAGAAATTTGTGATACAGTAGCGACATATAAAATTGTCTGTAATTGGCATAGGCTGATGCACAAAGGTCGTCATTACATACATAGCTCTGCCTTTCTTTCAATGCTAAAAAAAATAAAAATTAGTTTGAGTAAACACTGTGTCATTGGCTTGTTCTAATTGATTACGGGTACTTGATTTAAAAGGATTAGGCACCAAAATATCTCACTCATTGAACTAACTCCCCAGACCAATTATCAGAAATATAGAGGCCTCCCCATGGACTCTGGTTCTAACACACATGTCTCTGTGGTTATCTTCCTGTGCATGTTTATCTAATTTACCAATTATGCTGAGTTCAGTCAATCCCCATTGCCTTGTTAAGGATCCCTGTGAGCAGAGAGGAAATCTCTGCAGTCAAACTGATTCTTCTGTCGACTTCTCCAGATCTCCTCCAGGGTTGCAAGTGAGCTTCCCTCAGCCCATTATAAGATGCCTGAATTCAGGATTTAGGAACAGATGTAGCAGTGCAGAGATGGTGTCTTGTGGTGCCCTTTAAAAATCTAGGCTTGGGCTGATGGAGGTTAGACACGGTGCCAATGCTGACACATATTGGATCTTCAGCTGGTGTAAATCAATGTAGAGCTCCATTGACAAAACTCCCATTGACGTCAGTGGGAGCAGGAATGGGCCCAGTAGGTTTAGTAACGAAAAAAATGTGATTTAAAAGTTCAGTGTTATGTGCTATACTGGAAAGTGTTGCATTGGGTAGGGATAAACAGGCCAAAGTAACAAAGGAGCATCATTCCAACAACAGTAGCTTGAGAACGAGCATTCAGAGAATATGTGGGACTATAGGGCATATGTCAAACCTCCTCTTCTCTCAGCTACCCATTGAAAATAAGTGGGAGGAGACTATAGGATAGAGGACAACACTATTGAGATTTCAGAGTAACAGCCATGTTAGTCTGTATTCGCAAAAAGAAAAGGAGTACTTGTGGCACCTTAGAGACTAACCAATTTATTTGAGCATGAGCTTTCGTGAGCTACAGCTCACGTCATCGGATGCCGATGAACTGAGCTGTAGCTCACGAAAGCTTATGCTCAAATAAATTGGTTAGTCTCTAAGGTGCCACAAGTACTCCTTTACTATTGAAATTGTAATCTTTGAGGCAGATCATTGTCTATATGTTTGAACAATGCCTAGAACAATGGAGTCCTGACCTGTTTAGCCTTTAGGCTCTGCCACAATGTAAATGTTAAGTCATGATAATTCTCCTGTTCCTACGCCCCTATTCAAGCACAAACAGTTGGAAAAATATCATCGTAGGGCTATTGCTTTTCAGACTTTCTTACAATTTTGCCTGGTCTGTTTCAGCTACTAACCAAAGATGTGAAGCAGAGACTGGGATGTCAGGGGGAAGGTGCAGTGGAAGTGAAGAAGCACCCATTCTTCAAGAGCATGAACTTCAAACGATTAGAAGCAGGAATGTTGGACCCCCCCTTTGTCCCTGATGTGAGTAGCATATGGTAGAGAAAATCCCGCTTGACTGGATCTAGAGAGAATATATTGCATGCACCCCTTCTTTAGATGTCTTTCTAAAACGACTGTTCCCTTATATTTCCCATAGCTGGCAATGACTTGTTTCATTTCTTTTTCGGATAAGGATGGTGAACCGGTTTAAATAAAACCCTTTCCCGAGCCCCAAACTTAAACGCAACCTTTTCTTAGGTTCTAAAAGAACTCCTTTTATTTCTCCCCTGTTTTTGTGCCTTGTGAGTGCCTCCAGCTGGCACCAGCCCTCCTGCAAGTAGCAGACAATTCATAGGGAAGCATATTTTCACAGAATTCCCAGTCCAGTTTTGGAGACATAAGTGATTCAGAAAGCTCAGCTAAGCATGTATGTATATTTGTACAGAGAGGGAGAATGGTCCAGTCTTAGGCAAGGTAAGTTCAGTTCTCTACTCCAGGGGTTCTCAACTGCGACCCCCTTCGGACAACAAAAATTACTACACAACTCCAGGAGGGGGCCAAAGCCGAAGCCCAAGGGCTTCAGCCCCAGGCAGGGGGCCTGTAACCTGAGCCCTGTCACCCTCAGGCTTCAGGTTCAGCCCTGGGTAGTGGGGCTTGGGCTTTAGCTTTGGGCCCCAGCAAGTCTAACAGCAGCCCTGGTGAACCCATTAAAACAGGGTCGTGACCCACTTTGGGGTCCCAACCCACAGTCTGAGAACCGCTGCTCTACTCCACCAGAGACTTCCTGGTTGACCTGGGGCAGGTATCTTACATTCTCTGGGCCTCAGTTCCCACCTGTAAAATGGGAATAGTCGCACTGCTCTACATCAGAGGGGTGATGTGAGAATAAATACATTATAGATTGTGAGCTGCTCAGATATGACAGTAATGAGGGCTATTTAAGCACCTTAGTTAGATACGCTTTAGGTTAAACCACAAAATCTGGACCCAGAATTCAAACAGCCCAATGTTCTGATCTGGGGGAATAAGTCTGGCCCATTATAAAGACATCTGTTGTTTGAAAAAATTCAGAATTAGGTTCAGGTATCAAACACCCACCAATGTTTGTGTTTCTCTAGTGCTTATTTGAAATAGATCCCAACTGTGATCCTCCCCTTGAGGTTTGCCCATCACTATTGCATATACTCAAGGTCAGTATTGTAGTGACAGTAATAAAACTTTCAAAGCCCTTTGTAGTATATATCTCCTCCCCAGCGGCAAATTAACGCCTAGGCCAACAAGGCCGAGGCCTAGGGCGGCAAATTTGCAGGGGCGGCAAATTTATAATAGCAGCCAGAGGCAAAGCCAACCAGAGCAGCTAAAGTAAACTTTTGTAGCTTTTAAACCACTTTGGTTTGATTGAGTTTGCAGCAATGCAAACCAGAGCTGCCAAATTGTTACTTTCCCTAATATGTTAAAACGACAATGTTTACTTAGAGCCATATGGGGACTTTAAGGCTAGAAGGCCTAGCCAGATAGACAGGCTTGGAAGAGGAAAATAACCATGGAACTCTGTGCATGGGGAGGAGCAGTAGCGGATTAATGATTTTGCCCTAGGCCCAGAAATAATTGCCACCCCCCCCGCAGCTCACCTCCACTCCGCCTCCTCCCCTGAGCGCGCCGCCAGGTCCTGCTTCTCCCCGCTCCCTGCCAGTGCTTGTGCACGAAACAGGTTCGTGAAGGAGGGGGAAAGGGGGGGAACGCGGTGCACTCAGGAGAGGAGGCGGGGCTGGGGCGGGGATTTGGGGAAGGGGACCAATAGGGGCAGGAAGGGAGTGGGGAAGGAGCAGAGGTGAGCTGCGGGGGGGGTGGGGGGGGTGGCAATTATTTCTGGGCCTAGGGCAAAATCATTAATCCGCCACTGCTCCTCCCCGTGCACAGAGTTCCATGGTTATTTTCCTCTTCCAAGCCTGTCTATCTGGCTAGGCCTTCTAGCCTTAAAGTCCCCATATGGCTCTAAGTAAACATTGTCGTTTTAACATATTAGGGAAAGTAACAGTTTGGCAGCTCTGGTTTGCATTGCTGCGAACTCAATCAAACCAAAGTGGTTTAAAAGCTACAAAAGTTTACTTTAGCTGCTCTGGTTGGCTTTGCAGTTTACTATGTAGCCTCATTATTCCTGCCAATTAGCCCAGAGTGTTATGACCTGCTTCAGTGGGAAGAAATAGGAGACAAACTAGTGTTTCTTTCTCCTGAAGAAAATTAGAAAATTCTGGACTCAAATATGGGATCAGCTAGAGCCTACTGAAAGCTTAATTGTGGTATGTAATGGCTAGAGGGCATCTATTATCCATGTGTTTGCTAAAGTAGAGGCTCATAATTTTTTGCCTCATTAAGGGCAGCCTGGCAATTTATTGGTAACTCAAGAGCTGCATCTGAGCTAGATAATTCAGCACTCACAGAACTCTCTTCATTCATAGATCTCAAAGCACTTTACAAAGAGAGGTATAGTATTGTTATAACCGTTTGACAGAGAGGGTAACTGAAGCACAGAGAGGTTAATTGACTTTCCCAAGGTCACACTGTCAGGAATGGAGGTGGGAAGAGAACCCACATCTCCCATTCTGCCACTGGACCACACAGCACACAGAGAATACAGATTCCAGCATGTAGCACTTCATTTTGATTAATTTGGCCAGACTGCTCAGTTGCATGCTGGGATCTCTAGGCTTTGCAAGCCACACTTACGCTATCTTCCTTAACATGGAAGTGGATCATGTTGTAGAATTCGGTGGGCTACACTAGTCCTGCAAGCTGCATCTTGGTTATGCCCTTATTAAAGGGTAACTTTGTGCAGCTAGGGTAGGTTCTATGGACATGCAATGAGTCCATGTTAAGTAACCACTAGGGAGTATTTCTGTTTTCTGTTCAATATGGCTGACTACTGGTGTGTTAGCTGAGGAAAATGTCTCTTCAAAGTGACGTAGCAGTCATTCCAGAGAGCTAAGAACGATAATAAAATAGTTCAAGGTATTTGACTTTGCATCTGTAGAAATACAGCAGTGAAAATTGTAGCAGTTCATAGGAATGGCTCTAGAGAGCTTCCAATGGCTGAGAAAGAGCTGAGCTATTAACACAAACAACAGAAAAACTCCAAACCTCTTCTGTGTTCTTTAGCATTTAGTACAAATTCCTTTAAAGCTTCAAGCTTGCAAACTCCACAGCTGGCTGAGGAGAATGAGACTTCCATCTGGGGCAGACAGAGCCATCCCAGGTGTGCATTTTGTACAGATTTTCTAGTCTTTGAATGGCCTGTGTGTGTCCCCCTCTCTAAAAGAAAACAGTGCTTCTATTTTTTTTATCCTTTTTTTTACCTTATCTTATTTTTTCTGTCCTCGTCACATCACCTCTTAGCCATGTGCTACATGGATGACTAAAGCCCACTATGGTTCTGCTGATGCTGTAAGGACTTCAAAGTGGAAGCTTTAAATGCTTAAAGCAAGTCAGCCTGTGACGATAAACACATGGGCAGAGCAAGTATAGGAAGGCAGGATGTGGCTAGTCGCTTGTGGTCAGACATTCTCACTTGAATGTGTGTGTGAATAAAGGCACGTGTCCAGACTCAAAGACATTTTCTCTCCTACTTTTTCTCCCGAGACAGCCCAGAGCCGTGTACTGCAAGGATGTGTTAGACATCGAGCAATTCTCCACAGTGAAAGGGGTAAACCTGGACCAAACAGATGATGATTTCTATTCCAAGTTTTCCACAGGATCCGTATCTATTCCATGGCAGAATGAGGTAAGGGTACATCATGATCATATCACCCCAATGCAATCTCTAACCCAGGCTGCTTAAGAGCAGTTGTATGCTTCCAGTAATGTATACCCACTGGGTAACTTGCCAGACTCTAATGCATTCATAAGTTACAAACGCACTCTTTCAAGATCTATAAAGTACCACAGATGTCAGGTTCAGGTGACTGTATCTGCAGATTCTGCAGATTTGTATAAATTGGCAAGGGTTCTCCTGTACTTCCTCCTGCTGGTCTCCATAGAGATGTTCTGATAACGGCTCTAAAGAACTTCCGCGGAATGGATTTCTGCCTTAATGTGGCTCTCTATCCGTGACACTCATCTCATTCATTATTTTGTATCTGATGGGCCCCAGCTGCTGCATTTGAATCTGGATCTGAACTTTTCTGAAGTGCCAGGGTTTTTGATTGGGGGATTTGTTCTGCCTGCGGTAGAAACAGAGCCAGCTGTAAAGTTCAGATCCAAGTATAAACTTCCCCATAGTTTATGGGGGCTCAAAACTGGCCTTTTGGGTTCAGGCCAATCCGTATTTTATATTCTCCAATGTAGAAAAGAAAAACAATGCAAAATTGAATGGGGCATTCTCTTAGTAAGACGTATTGGAATAGTGCAGAAGCTTATACATTAGAGATTGAAGCCATCTGTTAGGTTGTATTGCCAGTACAGAGAGGGGTTCAGCTATTACTCGAACACAATATACTTTCCCCATTCAAACCCTTGATGGTAAAAGATGCTTTTTACACTGTATTGATTCCTTGGCATGCTGACAGCACCTCATGGGAGGTGATGAATATGGTGAGAAAGCTGACTAAACTGCCTTGCTGTTTTGAACAGTGAGACTCTTCCTCGAGGTGGCTACGGTCAGGTCATCTTGGGCTGACAGCATCAGCGGTCAGAACTGCTTAGTTATGGAAGCTCCCAGTGAAACTGAAAGTGGTGTTTTGGTTGTGACGTTAACTCTGATTTTCCCACTCTAGGGCCTTAGAGTTACTCAGTTCAATTTAACAAGCCATCAGAAGACTGTACACCTTCAGACCCATCTCTGCTACTACATCCACAGTAAACTGCCTAACAATAATAGCCAGAGAAGTGTTCTGTTGCTGATTGGCCCTTTTTGGTTCCTACACCTCCTGTCACATCTTGTCCCTCTTTAGTCTGTAAGCTCTTTAGGGAAGGGACTGTCTTTTATTTCATGCTTGTACAACTCTTAGCATAATGGGGCCCCTGATCCCGACTGGGGCATCTGGAGTTTCTTGTAATATTAATAAATAATAGTAATAATGCATCATCTCTTTTTATTCTTTCTGTGTTTTACCAGATGATAGAAACAGAGTGTTTTAAAGAACTAAATGTGTTTGGACCAAATGGTACTATTTCACCAGACCTAAACAAAAGCTACCCCCCCGAGCCACCCAAGAAAGGATTACTACATAGAATATTTAAACGTCAGGTGAGATCTTAAATGTAACAGAAAGAGCCTCTCTGAGCATAGGTGCCGACTTTGTGGGTGCTCTGGGGCTGGAGCACCCCTTGGGGGAAAAATGGTGCGTGCTGAGCCAGCACGCCACCAGCAGTCCCCCTATCAATCCCCCTTCCCTCCCTCCCTCCCACCTGCCTGCCAGCGGGCCCCTCTCTCCCCGCAGCTCCCGCCTGCTGCAATCAGCTGTTTCACAGTGTGCAGAAGTCTGAGGGGTGAGGGGGGAAGGAGCGAGGACACAACACGTGCGGGGTGGAGGGTGGAAGTGGGTGGGAAGAGGTGGGGTAAGGGCAGGAAGAGTGGGGCCTGGGGTGGGGCCGGGAGTCGAGCACTCTCTGGCACTTTGCAAAGTCGGCGCCTATGTCTCCGAGTCCTGATGAACTTTCCTGTGTGATATGTATGCTGCCCTTATGGTATGTCCATCGTGAGAGAGACATGAAATGCCAGGGAAGGTTTGTTCTCACAGTTTCCTTGTAATTTTCTGAAGATTCTGTATGTTCAGGTGGTTCAAATAAGTGTCTGCACCTAGGAGTTCTTATTTGACTCAGTACTTCCAACTTTCTAAGACCTGGCCATAGCTAGTCTGATATTTATTAGGGCTGGTTGAAATGTTTCCATCTAAGCTGTTTTTTTTAATGGAAAATTGGGTTTGTAAGTTACATGATTGTGTGGGTGAGAGAGAAAATTGTCTGCTTTTCATGGAAAATGTCAATTTTTCATTAAATAAACGAATGCCCAGACCATAGGAGATGTTGTCCGACCAGGGAATCTGGCCCATAGAGGAGAATGGGAGCATGAGGCATCTGAAATGCAACTCTCAAAGGGGCATCACAGCAACATTTCCAAATCCAAGTATTTTGGGGGTTGGCTGAAATATTTCAGTTTTTGATATTTTGCTGAAAAATCTGAATTTTCTGCAGAAAATAATCCCATTTCCTGACCAGCTCTGTTGTTTATCATGTTCCCCTCAACAGGCTGCAGGTAGTTTAGGCTGGAATTTAGCAAGGACACCTTCTACTCCGGACATTGGTCTCAGTCCCACCCTCACAGGCTCTTAGTAACCCCTGGCTCAGCACCTATGTCCAACAAAGGGCAGCTCTGCCATCCCTGCTGATTCCTTTGTGTCCAGGGCTACTGGGGACTGTCCATGAAAAGATCACCTGCTAAGAATGGGGCATTAGCAAAGCTGGCTGCCAGGCTGGGAGAACTAGTCATGCTAATGAACCCAAACCCTGCTGCTCCCTCCCAAAACAAGCACCTCCTCTCTCTCTCTCCACCTGGCCTCCCTGCTGCATGAGTGTAGCTCACGACTGAGACTTGGTTTTCTTATTTTACAGTGGTGCATGCGCAGCACTGTGTCTTCTTTGCACTGGAGTATGCTGTGCCCCCGTGTGCCATTCCTAACACTTCTTGCTGTGCTGGCTCTGACAGACCTACCCATCATCCCTATTTAAGAGTGACAGGCCTTATTTTTTAGAACCATATTGACCACTTTTACACATAACATTTTGAACCCAGCATATTACACTGGAGTTACAAGGCATGTCTCCCTAAATGTTAGCAGGTATGCTCTGAGGAAGACAAAGCTTAGGAGGCCAGAACGGTTTGTGCTGTATTGAATTGACTCCTCTAACGTGTATCCTCTGCTCTGTGTCTCTGGAGAGCTCCCATGGTTCTCCTGACCCATGGAAAATAAGGGCAAGCACGCTTCATAATTTTTATTTCAGTAAATCTTCACAATGTTACAAGACCAGAAGTAGGCGGGATAATATGACACGACCAAAATGTGAGACAGATGGGAGGACTGGGATGTTTGGGGGATATAAATATAATTGTTTTCTCCTTTCTCCAGCATCAAAACAATTCAAAGAGTTCACCGAATTCAAAGGCGAGTTTAAATCACCACATAAATTCAAACCATGTAAGTTCAAACTCCACCGGAAGCAGCTAGTTTGAACTCAACTTTCATGAAACAACGTGTTGCATCCTTCCACTATAATCTATGGAGCTTCTAAGGATGAGAGAGCATCCACCGTTGAGTTAAAAAATAAATGATCTCCCAGCAATGGAGATATTCTATCCATTCCTTCCAGTGGAGCCTCACATTTTATGAAGAAATTTCCACTCAGGTCTGTTTTTGGAGGTGGCACTCAAGATGGTGTGAATCAGATTTGTCTATTTAGAACATTGCAATAGAAATTCAACGAACATGACTACTTGCACGTATTTAAATAGCATCATACTAGAACTGAATTTTGTCTTTATTATTTTTAAAGAAAAGTTTTGTAAATTTCTCTATTGTCTCAGTTTACATTTTGTACATTTGTATTTAAATGAAAGTCAGACTTTGGGGTGTATATTTTCTGAGCAGCAGCTGTAAAGCCATGTGTTTTAAGACTTTTTTTTAAAAGAAATGTGACTCAAGACTTCCAGAGCCTCAAATGAGAAATCGTTCTTTTTAGTAAGTGTAGAAAATTATTCATATTTCACTTTATCAAGTTGGTTTTACTGACATGCATTTTTATGGCACAGTTTATTCTTAATTATTTTACATCTGTATATTTGGCTTACAGCAACACTGCATACATTTTTCCTCTTTCTTGGTTTGTAAAGTCTTGTGTTAAATGCTAAAATACGTAGTCAAGACTTTGCCGCATCTAAGAATACTATTTGCTATGTCTGAAGTTCGTAATGTCATGGGACCAGCACTGTTGAGATTTGCACTTATTTTTGTTGTTAGATCATCACAATATTATTGTTTTTAATGGAACCCTGTTTTAAGCCCTCCTCCTTTTCAAACTTTTTTTACTATTGCAAATGAGAGAAAGAACAAATGTTAGCAAGGGGAGATAAGAAAGGCAAGTTGTCCTCAGTTCTTCAAAGGCCTGAAATCCTGCACCCATTAAAAATAACAGCAAAGCTCCCATTGATTTCAATGATACAGGATCAGGCCACAAGTGAGAGGCTTTTACAACAGTTACTTATGTCACAGAGCTACCAGGAGATTGACTCAATAGCCCTGTCTGTGCTGGTCAGGGAAGCTATAGAGGACAGAACCAAGCCAGGAAGGTTCAGCTCTGGATCTCAACTTGTTCACATCCATTATATCCATTCCGACCCATGTCCACTGTCAAGTGAGCTGTTCTAGAGCCCTTAGGCTGTATGGCTCCTTTTCTGGCCCCCTCAACCGGTGATGAAACGACTGTCCCAGTACAGAGAGTTAGCCGAGTTCAGTGCCCATTGTAAAACAGTATCATTTGCTCTTTTTTGATTCCACAATGCATCATCTCAGGCTACCCCAAATCATTGTTTAAAACAATTGTCCCACTGGTATAGATGGGCTCAGTCATGTTCAATATCCATACTATGAACCAGTTAACAAAAGCATACTATATGCTAGGAGTGTATCTATTCTCAAACATGCCATGTAGGACATCAAGTGTCAAACACAGCTTCACCCATTTCAATGGATATTGGGAAACATTTGCCCCACTGGTGTAGACAGAATCTGCTGAATTCAACATTTGCTGTAAAATAGTTTGGTTGACCATGTTTTTTTACAATGGTTGCTGAATTGATTGAGTTTTCCTAAACCTTTGGGACAACTGATGCCTGACATGTCATGTCTAAGAATTAAACCATTACGCTAAGGTTAGACCAGGTCTGTGCTGCCCAGGGAAACTGGGTTAGCATCTTTCTAGCAAGAATTACATGTATGTTTAATTAGCCATAAGGAACAGGTTACTTAGAGAGCTTCTGGAATCCCCATCATTGGAGGCTTTTAAGAACAGGTGAGACAAACACCTGTCAGGGATGGCTTAGATATATTTAATCCTGCCTCAGTATGGGAGGATAGACTAGATGACTTCTTGAAGTCCTTTCCAGCCCTGCATTTCTTTGATTAGACTGGTGTGCACAGGCACCGACTTACTAATGTGCCAGGGGTACTCGACCCCCGGCTCTGCCCCAGGCCCCACCCCCACTCTACCCCTTCCTCCTGGGCCCCACCCTGCCTCTTCCTGCCTGCATTCCACCCACACCCCACTTCTTCCTGCCCCATTCCGCCCCCTCCCCCCCAGCACGCTGAGCCCTTGCTCTTCCTCCCTGTCCCCGCAGCCTCCTGCACACCGCAAAATAGCTGATCGCGGCAGGCAGGAGGCGCGGGGAAGGTGGGGAGGTGCTGATCAGCGGGGCCAGCTGGCAGGTGGCAAACACTGGGGGGGCAGGGGCTGATAAGGGGGCTTCCGGTAGATGCTCAGCACCCACCATTTTTTCCTTGTGGGTGCTCCAGCCCCAGAGCACCCACAGAGTCGGCGCCTATGCTGATGTGAAACTGGTTTCCTTGGCCAACACAGAAAGAGCAACAGAGTACATGAGGTTTTTTTACAGGAAAAGCCATGAATGATAAGGACTCAAAATAAAGTAAGTTCTAGAACAGGGATCGGCAACCTTTGGCACAAGGCCCACCAGGGTAAGAGCCCCCTGGCTGGCTTATTTACCTGCCGCATCTGCAGATTCGGCTGATCGCGGCTCCCACTGGCCGTGGTTCGCCGCTCCAGGCCAATGGGGGCTGCGGAAAGTGGCGCGGGCCGAGGGATGTGCTGGCCGTGGCTTCCCGCAGCCCCCATTGGCCTGGAGCGGTGAACCGCGGCCAGTGGGAGCCGCGATCAGCCGAATCTGCAGATGCAGCAGGTAAACAAACCGGCCCGGGGCCCTCTGGGGGCTTACCCTGGTGGGCCGCATGCCAAAGGTTGCCGATCCCTGTTCTAGAACAACTTAAGGTCAGTAAGGGTCAGAGAACAGGGTCAGAAAAATTTAATTTTTGTAAATTAGCTGATGGAGAAAGAAATGGAGATATTGGGCTATGTATGTATGTACTGGGCTGATGTGCGTTTGTTATGGAGTACAGAATGCCAAGAAGCCAAGACACCCCGTAGGTCAACTAATAAGGTTGTAGGTTCTCTCAGTCACTTGGAGAGATACAGGTAATTAAGACCGTGTTGTAAACAATCCAAAACAGTAATGAAAAATGGTCTCCCTTTTCCTTCTGACTGATGTTCTGGGAAGACACGGTGGCACAGAGGGTGTTTACCCCTCACTTTATCCATGCAAAGATCCAACAGGGAGAATGCCAGCAGTTTCAGCTGCGTTAGTGATGCCACTGCAGATTTGAGCAGAGGTGAAAGAATGTGGAGAAGCGAATGCTGAGAATTTGGACTAATTATGTCTCCAGTTTAGTTGTAATACTTCCAACTCACTAGTAGGCGTGAGAAGAGAGAAGTACTGTGTGAGTGAAACTCTCCATTTATGTTCTGACGCAAGCCCCCTGAAGTCAGCGGGAATCTGTGCGCTTACTGTAGTGGGCTTTGTGTTAGGCCCCTTATGCAAAGTTTGCGTTCTGTGGATGGCCTTGCATGGGCCCTCTGCATCAGGGTGGATTTCCCCCAATTTCAAGAAATGTAGGTGAGAATTCGAAGAGGAACCTCAGTATCTCTGGGGCTTAACGTAGGGCTCACTGTTTCAGTACCAGTGTGCATGAGAAGCTTTGTATGTAGAACTTTCCTTGCTTTGCCTAGAATATCCTTATGGGGAAACAGTTTTTCAAAGGGAAAGGCTGATGTTCACGTGCCAGAACTACACTCAGATTCATCTGTGTGCGCAGTATGTCAGTGCTCTCTCAAACCGGTTAATTCATAAGCACAAATGCAAAGCAAAGGGAGCACTGAGTGGTAGATAGAGCATGGTCCTAGGTTCTGTTTTGAGTTCTGCTACTCCCTCATTTTGTAGCATTATAGAGGCACCTATCTCCCATTAGAAGAATGTGGATAATAATGTTTGCCTGCCGCCTGGGGTGGGGCAGGGGTTGTGAGGCTTAAATCATGAATATGTGTAAAGTGCGATGAGGCTCTTGGATAAAAGTCATTATAAGAGTCACATATTAATATTCATCATTAACGTGGGTGAGTGCAGAGCGTATGCATGAGGAGCTCATTCGCTGCCTTTTTAACCATTTGGTCCATGAAGACTCCATTTTCTTTTGTTGTTGTTTTAACTCTCCACATTTAGATTAGAGATGAAAAACCTAATTACAGTGAACCCTCCCTTGAAGGCTGTTTGTTAAGGCTAAATGACCAATTGATAACCCTGGCTCGAAGGAACATCATGGGTAGCCACAACACTGCCAGTCAATACCAGTCTTGACCACCCGTCCTGTGAGTCTCCTGAACAGCGCTTGCCTACTATGTCCAACTGAGCAGTATTTTGTGTTAAATAACCTACTTGAGACTCGGCTGAGAACACACTGTGCTCGCATTCACTTGTGTGATCCAGTAAAAATTGGAACACAGATATCTATGGATGGAACTTTAGTGAACCAATTTGTTGCACAACCTAACTCCCCCAAATACATGGAGCCTGGTTCTCAGAGGTGATGAATACTCACAATTCAATCTGAAGTCAATGAGAGCTGTGGGGGTTCGGCACCTCTGAAAACCAGGCCTATAACATGGGGGGGAGGGATAGCTCAGTGGTTTGCGCGTTGGCCTGCTAAACCCAGGGTTGTGAGTTCAATCCTTGAGGGAGCCATTTAGGGATCTGGGGCAAAAATTGGGGATTGGTCCTGCTTTGAGCAAGGGGTTGGACTAGATGACCTCCTGAGGTCCCTTTCAGCCCTGATCTTCAATGATTGTATAATTTCTTTATACTACTTTGGATAGAGCATACTGCTAGCAAGAGAGTGTTTAGTACTCTGAATCATAATGAATAGCTCTGAGATGGGTTTGCACATAGCAAAAGAGTAGAAAGAAATAGTTATTTCATAGTTTTCCAGCACAAGATTCATTTAATCTGTTATCATTCCAATTAGAGCAAAGATCCTTTTGGGAAGTGCACAAGATTCGAGCTGGTTGTATTATTTGTATGAGTAGACTGTTGAGCAAATTTAGCTCTTCAAATGTTTGGAAAACATTTACAAAGTGATTCTGAATTCTGCAACTGGATTTATTTTTAAGTCTTCTCCAGATAGGCTGAAAATTACTCATCAGTCTATGGGTTCTTCATTAACTTTCCAGTTCAATGATTGTTTGAGTTGTGTGTGAAGGAGTCACATGGCATTTTTTCTGCTTTCTGCTTGGATGATTGAAACTTCTGAAACATGAAAATAATAGCAAATACATATTTTTGAGTCTGCACATATAACCTTGTTCATGTGAAAATAAGGGTGTTCGTGCACAAACAGCTATTCCTAAGACATGTGTGAACAAAAACCTGTCCATGCAAATGAAAAAACGCACAAAACTGGTCAAACCAAGCAGCCAATAGGAATTCAAATGAAAGTTAGTGAACACCGTTCTTGCAGTGCTGAATCAGATCTACATAATATAGATATTTAGAGGAATTTGTTCAATTGACTCTCTGTTTTTCATAGAAAATTTGGAATGTTTTTAAGAAATCTTTGAAGTCACTTGTGATCATTCCCCTCCCCGGGTAACTGTGTCCAATTTCATTGTAAGAAACATGTAGCCAAACTTTGCTGATTGATTGGTATCTTACCGGATACAGATGCTTTTTTCTTCTTCTTCAGAGTATACATAGAATAGAACACACAATATCCAGCAGGGACTATTTTTGTTAAGCCAACTCTCATGTTTCCAAGCTAGATCCAACTGGCATCTTTACTTTTTCCACCCAAGTCTCACATTTCAAAGTCAGTTGCTATTATCCTTTTCAGTAGAGAAGTCTCAGATAAACAAACTTCTGTAGTACAAACAAAATAAGCAGAAACAGGGAGATACAGTATCTATGAATTCCTAAGTACAGTTTGAGAACTAGGTTAGTGTGTGGGTATGTTCATGTGAAAGGTTCTCTTCTTTAAGTTCACAAATTCTTGTTGTTCAAAGTTTGTAAGGCTCCCTCCCACATGTTAAATATGTTGATCAAAATGAAATGGCTCATCAGCTGCTCCTGAGCATTATCTAAACAGCGCTGGAAAAGTTGGACTTCTCTTTGCTTTGAAAAGTTGGACTTCTCTTCGCCCGGGGCTAGTCTGCTTTTCCAGGCAGGGATCATGTCTTTCTGTGTGTTTAAACAGCACCTAGCACAATGGGACCCGGTCCTGCTTGTGGCCTTGGGCTGCTACTTTAATTTAAATAACAGCATTAATAAGTGCCTAGGTGCCCATTTCACCAAAACATCACTGGCACATTTGAAGGCCCTTAAAACTGGGAGGCCAAGGAGTGAATGGACGCAGAGATTGACCTGCCCTCATCCTGGGAGATGGTCCTGGTCTATCCCAGACCGGGTTGAGAACCATTAGCAGGGAAGTGCAAGAGAAGCTGTGGCTAAACAGAGCTATCAGTTTGAGACCTCTCACAAGCACTAACTCCACCTATCTAAAAAATAATGATAGCGATGAGTGTCCTTAGGCTAAAGCCGAGGAAACAGGGTTAAATCCTATTCATTCCAAATTCTCATGTGTCAGGAGGACAGCAACCTCCTTTAGCGAGAACAACTATTAGCTTTTATGCAGTGCTGTAAGAGAATGTTTAAAGCCAGCCAACAGCAGTCTGTACTAATAGCCCCTCTACTCTGCAGTAATACAAATATCAGCTGCCATGCTGGGGTCTGTTACTGCAGAATACTATCAGATGTTTTTTATAAAGGAAGAGCCATACGCTGAGAGACTCTTAAACAATGTATTACTTATATTGGCAGTGGCAGAGTGATTTTTGATTTAAGATGATCTCCTTGTGTCTGGCTCAGGTTTCCCCTGTTTGTTTGTTTATACTTGGAGTCAGGAGTGCTGGGTTCTATCCCTAAGCCAGCCACTGATTCTCTGTCTTGCCCGTGGCAACAAAATTAACCTATGCGCATCTCAGCTTCCCTGGTCTGATAAAAGGAGTAATGAAACCTAGCCACCTTTGGAAAGCACTCAGAAGTCTCTAGACCAAAAAAAAAAATGCTAAGTATCAATATTAATTGTTTTTTATTTGAATGAATTGAGCCTCATCTAGCAGCTCTTACCTATGTAACTTCAGTGAGACGACTCACGTAAATAAGGGTTCATGATTTTTTTCGAATAGTTTGTCCTAGTTCCTTTGAGATGCTGAGATTTTATGCACTTTGCTTCAGCAGCGAGACCTCCTGCAGAGCTAACAGTATAGACTTTAAAGTGTTCGTTTCCTTGTTTCAGAGCTAATCAGTAATAGCAATCATTCAAGATCCTCCCCTTTTTATATTAAAAACAAATGTCTATGAGGGAGGGGACAAAAAATAATCACCAGTTAAACTTCAAAATCTCTCTTTGCCTGCTGAACAGTTGTTCCACATGTGACAGAATTCCTAGATACTGAATAACTGAAATGCTGTGTTAAATCAGAATGATGCATGTTGGACAAACGTTGGGAAAACTCACTGGCCCATCTATGAAAACTAAAGAGATTATCACATTTCTAGGATCAAAGGACTTCAAAAGGGAATCCCAGGCGTTCTGGAAATCAAATGGCCCCCAAGGAACCATCACTACCAGGAAAGAAGAAACATGTCAGATAGTGCCTGGATTATAAATGTATTTTCCATTCTTGTCATTCCACAGCTGTTCAGTGTGTTTATTAACCAGTCCATGTGAGTTATATTGTATGTGTTGAGTGCAATCTCCTTTGATTGCACTTTTTAAATACTGGACACTCATCTAAAAGACTCAACTTTTTGCCTTTCCTTTGAAGGTGGAGGATGTAAAAACTTCATTTTGCATTTCCAAGCAATGTAGATAGATCTAAAAATTTCATGAACCATCTTGTATTTGCCCATATCTGACTAATGATTAAATTGTAAAACTGCAGAGTTTCATATTACGACTAGTCTTTTCACCTGCTTCGAAAATTAAAATTCACATTTGGTATTAACACACACACACACAGAGTAGTATTCTGATCTAATTTGAAAAGCATATCCAGGAATAAATGTTTTTAAGCACTGCTAATATTGTAGTCTCTGTAAGGGGAACAGACACTTCTAAAGAAATGTTAAAGTTGTCTTTCATAATTCAGTCAACAAATCAGTTTTGTAATAAATTAAAGCAGATGTTCTCAATTAGAAGAACTAGTGGCTGTTGACATTGTACACACACAAAAAATCATTCTAGTATCCAAAGGGTTTTTTGTTGTTGTTTTATTACAGGGAGATTCTAACATTGTTTTATGAAACTAGTTTCATTTTGAGGTTATTACTGAAGATAATGGCTTCTGTGTTCTATGGCTGCTTGAATTCTTCGTACATAATGTCTAATAATGTCACAGTGCTGCTGTATCTAGATCAAACCACTGTTTTGTTTTGGTTTTGTTTGGGGATTTTTTTAGAAAAATAAATTCTTTAATTTAAATACATTAAAATTACTCATTCTGATCCATTTTTCCTCTTTTTTTTTAATTGGACATAAGCCCATATTGCGCCAGATAATGCTTCATCTGAAGTTCATGGGAGTGTTACCATTGCTTTCAGCGGGAGCAGGATCATTGTTGGGACATCTGCTGCCTTTATATGTCTTATTATAATATTTTCTGTCACATCACCTCTCCAGCTAGTAGATCTACCATAGGTCAGAATCTTAGGCCTTGTCTACACTGAGGTTATTAGCCATGGGCAGCTGCATCAGTGTGACCATGCACTACTGATTGAACCATGACTTGCACTAGTTCAGCTTACCCCATGGTGTCAACCAGGACTTGAACTAGTGGGGCATGTCTATACTAGAGGCTTGCACTGGTATGGCAAGGCCAGTGTTGCTATCCAGTGACTAAAAAATCCAGTGTATACAAGTCCTCAGTCATGTTCGTATTCACAAAGCCTCCAAACAATTATGTGACATGGCCAGCATGGAACAAGGCAGAATGGCCTAATAAACTGGGCAGGAGACTAGATACAAAGACTTTAAAGAAGGCATCATGACAGTCATCAAGAGCTTTTCTTCACTGCAGTATTGGCTTGGGGTATCAACCCTTGAGTTAACTCCTCTCAGGTAGCTTAAGCATCAGCATTACTTGACCACGAACATCAGATTAGGGCCAAAACTCAAGCTATCCCTTGAGCTACACTGCAGTGAAGAAAAGACCCTAGTCTGCCCTCCAGATGAATCTCCCTCTGGATGGAACCAGGAGCCAGGAATTCTTAAATTCCCTATCAGCTCTGCCACTGACTCACTGTGTGGCCATGGACAAGTCATTTAACTTCTCTACTGTGGCTTCACCATATTTGTGAAATGGGGATGATGCTCTTCACATATCTCATAGGAATATTGGGAGAATTAATGTGCTTTGGAGCTGCAAAGAGTTGTGTAAGTGCTTATTATTTTATATTATTAAGCACCCTGAAAAGCTGTTACCTTGACAACCTTTGCTGCAAGTGCCTTTTCAAAAGAATTTTCTGGACTTGATTGTACTCTCACTTCTGATTTACTCTTTTGTGAGTGAGAAAAGACTCAGATCCTCTTGTGCTGATGCACCACTACTTTACACCTTGTGTAGTCCCACTGTCCCTGTCCCAATTGAGTGCAAAGTGGGTGGAACACACTATCAGAATGGTCTGCAATTAATATCAACTTTGCACTGGTGTAACCTACACAGGGCAGAAAAACTGGCCTTTTATCTTGTACTGCGAAGATGACAATAACTGACCTCATTCTCCCCACAGTACCTCTCATACAGACTTTCTGAGGTGAAATAAAAACTACCAGATGCTCTATGGTACTAAAATCTTTAAAAGGAATAGGATCATGGAACAAGATCCCACATTAAATTGCATGACTGGCCAAGGATACAAAGGAAGGTGGTTGCATTCAAAAATGAATGGACATTCTGATTTGCTTCACGAAATTTCGCACTCTCACAAAGAGAACTGGCCAAATTTGTTTCCCATGTTACCCACTTCCTTTTCCTGATGCACAATGCAATACAAACTCCCAACAAACACGACTGGTGTTTTAAGGTCCTCACAAGCTTAGGGGACCTTAAAATGGGCATGATAGTTCCCAGAGGAGGGGACAGTGTGGGTGATACAGAGGCTGATAGAGAAAGATTTTATTTAGACTTCATCATGACGTGTTTTACGAGACCTACAAAACTCTGGCCTTGCTTAAATTTCCATTGGTTGGGGAGGGAGTGTTTGTAGGCAGAAAAATCAAAATACACTTTTCACGGCCGTGCACTTCGTGCATCTAAAGTGAAATTTTGCATTCAGCTGCAACTTTACCAGTAAACTGTGCAAACAAGTTGCCACCCAGCAGAGTGAAATTTTTCTTGTATTTTCCAACTTCTTTTCTTAAAAAAAAAAAATATTGTAGAAAGGGGTAAAGAAAAACTGAGAGCCTGCTGATGGCAAACAGTGTTTGCACTAAGTACCAAGAAAGAACTCCTCAAAAGTGGTTTATCTAATAGAGAAAAGTATAACATGATCCAACGGCCAGAAGGTGAAGCTAGATACATTCAGACTGGAAATAAGGCATATGAACAGTGAGAATAAGTCACCATTGAAGCATTTTACCAAGGGTCGTGGCAGAGTCTCCTTCAAAGATAAATTTTTAATCAAGATTGGAAACTTTTTTTCAAAAAGCCCTGCTGTGGGAATGATTTTGGAGAAGCTCTGTGGCTTGTATTGTACAAGAGGTCACACTACACGATCACAATGGTCCCTTCTGGCCTTAGAGTCTATGAAACTGGGTAAAGTAGCAGCCTTGTCAAACTGCCAAGCTCAGTAAAATGTAAGGTGATCAACTGTGTAAATTCAGGTCCTGCAGCTTTACATTGACACTGACCTGCTCACATCCATTCAACCAATTTTCCTGCAATTATAAAAAGTTTAGAAGTCATGTGTCATATGATCGTTTCAGTAAATTCCTTGGGTTGTTTTATGCTTTGCCTCTGATAACCTTTCCTGGAATTTTCCTAATATACCAGGCAAGTTTCTCTCAAGCTATGTACAGACCACTGGCAGAATACCCTCATCACTCACATGATTTAAAAAGAAGCAAATTAAATAAAATTATAATTTTTAATGCCCGGAAAAGGCTTTGGAGATGGAAAGTATTACATAAGGCCCAGATCCTGCAGCCAAAATCAATGGGGCTCTGTGCAGGCACAAGGGGCTGCCCAGATGGAGTCAGTCACAAGCTTGGGGACTAAATTATTCTGCTTATTTTTTTATAGGTGGCACATGATTAAGTTCAAAATAAAACCCTTAGGCCATTAAAAATTAACTCATCTTTTCCCCCTCAGTAGCATAAGTAGAGTACTATTTATTAGTAACATAATCACCACTGTACTATGCTTTACCTGACAAACTAGAAAGAGAAATGCTACAAGTCTCAGCTTGGAAGCATTAAATAGGCTATAGATGGTAAAGTAAGCATGCAAAATTGATCCAGTCCTCAAAATAACAGTGCTTCCTTGCAAATTATGGTTGTTAAAAAAAATTTTTTTAGTCTTTTGACCTTTGCAGAATTTCTGCTTTTTAATTCAAGCAAAACACTAGGAAATTACATTTCAAATTCAAGAGAAGTAGTGGTATTTGGTGCCTGCTGGAAAGGTATGTTAGTGGTCAGCTCCCTCGGGGAGGGGGAACAGTGAAATCAGACAAGGAGCCAGGGGAAACTGGGGACTGGCTGGCTGTGCAAACTGGAACCACGGTGAGGGAGAGGGATAGGGAGTTGACATGGACATGGGATGCAAAGGACAAACTGACACAGGCTGAGTAAAGCGATTTGGACAAGAAACCAGGGAGGGAAAGGAGGGGTTGAGGGAGACTTAGGTTAGAGGAGAAGCCTGAAAGGGAGACCAGAACTAGGCACCAGTGGGTTGGGAGGAGAAATTTAGATAGAAGAAGGTGTTGGGAGAACTGGGACTGGCTGGCCAAAGAGACTGAAGACAAGGACTTGCTATGGAACTGGGATTGGCTGAGCAAGAAATCAGTGACTGGGCAGGACGAGAGAACGGGGCCGGGGGGTGGAGGAGAACCTCCTGCACCATGCCTTACCCCCCTCTGACCTCAGTCAGACTCAGCTGCGGTGTGAGGGAGCAGAGCATCTGCAGATGGATCACCAAGGCCCAGTGCCCGGAGAGCAACAGGACTGGGGCAGCAACTCAACAGGCAGGTGTGTGGTTGGGATCAGGGGAAGCTTAGACTGGGGCAGGGGGTCACTGGGCCATGAAAGGTGTGCTTCACTGGGGAGTGGGGGGCGGGTGGGGGCAAACTTCACTGGAGTATGAAGAGTGGGATTCATTGCGGGGGCAAGGTTCATTGGGATATGAGGGGATGGGATTGGGGCAGAGGCAGGGCAGGAATCATTGCGGGGGTGCAGGGAAGGGTTAACTGTTTGGTGCAGGAGAATTAAGCAGTGCTTTTTAGAGGGTCAGGGTTGATGGAGGGAGACGGCGAGAGAGATTTGGGATCGTGATAAAGAAAGAAGCAATTGCTCCTTCTTCCTCCCCCACAATCTCTCCCACTCTCACCGTTTCCCCCACTCCAGCTTCTCTTTCTGCTTCTGACCCAGACTGCCCCCAGTCTTTTAACCAGGCCAATCTCCCTCCTTTTCTCCCCCATTTTATAATATGAAAACCATCAGCAAATGCTCAAATTCCAGTTGATGTAAATACATGCACACTTCTGTGCAGGGGTTTTTGTCAGAAGATGTAGGCTAGTCTAACTATTGATCTTTTCTCAAAGGTAAACTTACATATTGGTCCCATCATTATTTAATTCCACCACCTCCACTTACTTGTACATTCACTACAACATTCAAAAGATAAAAACAGAGAAACATTGAGCCAAATCAAAATTGTAGTAAGAAATTTATTGCCAGAGTCACCAAAGTCAGAAATACTTATTGTAGGTCTGCAATAATTACTTTGCTTTGGACTTGATACTTGTTCAGTGCACCACAGAAAAAGCTACTGAAGTTTTGCATAACCAAAAAATTCGACTGTTGCTATTCGACAGTTAAGTGACGAATATAAACAATATGCTACAGTAACAGGGGGGGTAGCCCGTGTGCTGAGGCTTGCAGCCAGGGCCAGCACTTGGGCAGGTCGCTGCAGCCTGATGGTGTTGTGGGGAGGGAGAGACAGGAGGAAAGGGCCCGCCAGCTGGGCACTGAGGATGGGTTGGCCAGGCCTCTCCTCAGCGTTTTCCTAGGAAGCCTGAACCGCCCTGGATTCCCTCCCCCACTTTCTCCTTTAGTGACAAGGGAGGACACTGGGAAGGGCAGACCTGGTGGAGCTGCACCCTGCTGGATGCAGGGAGCCTGCCCTGCCCCTATTGAGCCCCATCCATGGGCATCACTATTGCAATAGCTCTATCCAGCCTCCAACCCTGTGTTCCTCCCCAGGAGCTGGGCCACCAACCTCCTGGGCCAG